TTTAAAATAAATGATGAGCTTAATTAACAAAGAAAAAACAAAAAAAAGCAAGCACTATAAAAAGAAAAAGAAAAAAGATCTTTATTGTTTTAAATTAGTTTTTATAATTAAAAATATCACAATCCAAAACAAATAAACTGTTTTTACTGAAGGTCAAGTTTCAAATTTGAGAGATTAATGCAATTTGCTAAAGCAGAACCTAAGCCTGATGCACCTTCATCACCAATTTAATTAACCCTTTTTAAATATTGAAGAAAAAATATATCATTAAATAGTTAATTAGTAGGAAAAAATGAAGAAAAAATATGAAATAATAAGATTAATTAATTAATAATAAAAGCAAAAGTTTAAAATAAATGATGAGCTTAATTAACAAAGAAAAAACAAAAAAAAGCAAGCACGATAAAAAGAAAAAGAAAAAAGATCTTTTTTGTTTTAAATTAGTTTTTATAATTAAAAATATCACAATCCAAAACAAATAAACTGTTTTTACCCAAGGTGAAGTGTCAAATTTGAGAGATTAATGCATTTTGCTAAACCAGAACCTAAGCCTGATGCACCCATTGCACCAATTTAATTAACCCTTTTTAAATATTGAAGAAAAAATATATCATTAAATAGTTAATTAGAAGGAAAAAATGAAGAAAAAATATGATAAAAGCAAAAGTTTAAAATAAATGATGAGCTTAATTAACAAAGAAAAAACAAAAAAAAGCAAGCACGATAAAAAGAAAAAGAAAAAAGAACTTTATTGTTTTAAATTAGTTTTTATAATCAAAAATATCACAATCCAAAACAAATAAACTGTTTTTACTGAAGGTCGAGTTTCAAATTTGAGAGATTAATGCATTTTGCTAAAGATGAACCTAAGCTTGATGCACCCATTGCACCAATTTAATTTTCACTTTTTAAATATTCAAGAAAAAATATATCATTAAATAGTTAATTAGAAGGAAAAAGTGAAGAAAAAATATGAAATAATAAGATTAATTAATTAAAAATAAAAGCAAAAGTTTAAAATAAATGATGAGCTTAATTAACAAAGAAAAAACAAAAAAAAGCAAGCACGATAAAAAGAAAAAGAAAAAAGATCTTTTTTGTTTTAAATTAGTTTTTATAATTAAAAATATCACAATCCAAAACAAATAAACTGTTTTTACCCAAGGTGAAGTGTCAAATTTGAGAGATTAATGCATTTTGCTAAACCAGAACCTAAGCCTGATGCACCTTTGTCACCAATTTTATTGAAACTTTTTAAATATTGAAGAAAATGAATGTGTTTAAACACAAATATAAATAAATGAATAAATAAAAAACAATTATAAACAAAAAACAAAACAAAAAATATATATAAATAATTTAAAATATTATATTTAAGATGTATTCTGAGTGCATATTTATATGTGCGAGTATTTCTATTCTATTCTATCACCAATTTAATAGTAACTTTTTAAATATTCATTTTTACATTTTCTGAATTTAAAGCTTTCTATAAGCTCAAAAATAAAGCTATTTTAAGCTAATTTAGCTTTATATTAAGTTATTAAGATATATTACATTTCGCCTTTTATATATTAAATAGGCATTTCACTCTATTTAATTATGAAGGAAAAATGTAGAAAAAATATGAAATAATAAGATTGATTAATTAATAATTAATAAAATTAACAAAGAATCAAAAAATAAGAAATTATAATAAAAAGAATAAGGAAAACAAATCAAATAAATTAAAAGAGCTTTAATGCTTTAAATTAACTTTTATAATTAAAAATATTACAATGCAAATCAAAAAACTGCTTTTATTAAGTGTAAGTTTTAATATTAAAAAATGAAGAAAAAGTATCAAATAATAAAAAATGAATAATAAATAATTAATTAAAAATTGAAATAAAAATTAATTTAAAATAGCTAAAAAATTTTTGTTTTAATAAAAATCATTAAATAATGATGATAATTTCTTTTATAAAAATTATTTATTTAAATAAATTTAAAATCAAATATACAAAAAATATTAATAATAAAAAAAATAATATTTATAAATTAAATATACTTGTGGAGATCAATATGGAGAATCTTATGAGGTAATTTTGAAGAGCTTAAAAACTATTTTTATTAATTAAAATAAATTTAAAGGATATTAATATAAAAATTAATAATTACTTCTTCTAATCTATTATATTTTATAATCTATTATATCATTTATTTATTTTTCAGAAATATTGAATAACAATTTATGAAATTTGATTCGTTAATTAATTAATTATAAATGGATAAAAAGAACAAATAAATATAATAATTAATTAATTATCAAATATTAATTTATATTATTGGTTTTATGAAGAGATATCTCAGAAAATTAATTTAACATTCACTATTTAAACTTAATATTTATATTTAAAACATATACTTAAAAATATATATAGTAGGAATTAGAGATGGTCAGTTATTTATTTAGTCCTATTTGAAAAAAATTAATTCTAGTAGTTAATGTTCTTAAATTTTATAAAAATAATGTTTATAATTAGATTTTTCTGTTTTACTTCAGTAATTTTAGGAATATTTATAATATCTCTAATATAGCAAGATGCCATACAAAAATTTCATGGTTTGCATGCCACTTATTATGAAATAGAGAATTTACAATTGGGGCTTTTTTAGATCAGTAAGGTCAAAAAACCACTCTGCCTTACTTTGTCATTCTGATTAATCAACACTTTAAAATTACAAAATTGTTTAATTAATAATATTTTGGTTGTATTTAATTTTTTAATTAATAATTATAAACCGTATTAATGTATCTAAAGAAAAATTTATGGATATTACAAATATTTTGGATATTTTTCATATAATTTTTAATTAAAATATTTTATTCAATTATATATATACGTGTGATATTTTCTAATATGTTTCCATCAATTATTAGAATTTCATATAAAAATATTTGTTTGATTTGATTAAGATTAAAATATTGAAGATTCATATAAAAATAGATAGAAAAGGAGTTTTATAGCGACATTTTAAGGAAATATAAAAATAGATTTATTGACATAAATTAATAAAGATTTTAAAATAATTTTAAATAGAAATTTATATTGAAAAATTAAATTTTGCTAAAAAAATGATGTCAAAATTCAGAATCATCCATTAAATATTTAGAGTCTTCCAGAGTAGACTTGTTTAACTTCTTTTTTATTTTACGCTTTGATTGCTAAAAATCAGTAGTGTTTGTGTTATCTTCGGGTTAATTGACGTTTTTATAAATGTAAATACCAATAGAGCCAAATGTAAGAAAGAAGGATACTACATAAGCTACAAGCATTGTACTAGATATGAGCCATCTTCTTGTTTTCTTAGAGATAAAATATTAACTGAGTAGGAAAACTGCAGAAAAAACAAAGTATTTGTACATTTTAGTTGTTTCTATTTTCTACAATATGTTGCTCTTCTTTTTCATTTCAGCAACTCCTAAGAGCAAGTTCACAGCACTTTTAATTTATCCGATTGCACTATCATTGCTAGATCCATTGAATTTTTTCTTCAATCCTTCAATCATATTCTAGATTCCTTCCTCTATATTAATTTGATTCGAATTACTTTCTCTTTTATTTTACAGCATATTTTGAGATTAATCTTAAGAAGAAGCTATCAACTTAGTTTTTATTTCTAGAGGCTATTCCATCATGATTTTCCTAATAGATTCTACTCTGTCTTTTATTCTTTTTTCTTCATTCTTAAATTTATCGCTTCTGTTGTTAAGTGTTTGAATGATTGAGCTACTATTTTAGTTTTCGTAGTTTCCAGCCTCGAAATTCTTGTGAAAATTTAGTGTTGATTTTTAGGAAATTTTATAAAATTAGTCTTGTTTAACTTCAGTTAAATGCAGCAAATCTTCTTCTTCAATGACATTTTTATAAAAATGCTAGTTTGAATTATAGCGATTTGCGTTATTTCTTTTTTAGTTAACAACTCCCCATTTATTATTTGGATCTTTGCTTTCTTCATTAGCACAGTTTTCACATTAACAATTGTCAGTATTATCACAATTTTTCACCATCAGAACATTTTGTTGGTTTTAAATTTCATTTTTTTCTTCTTCTTCTCTTTAGCAAATCTCTTGAATTTTTAAAAAAATTATTTTAATATTTTGTTTCATAGTTTCAATAGCAATTATCTATCAATTGATTTAATTGAATATTTGAAGTTTTTAAACTGTTTTTTTGGTGGAGTTTGATCATTAAAAGGAATAATTAAATGAATTTGTATTAATTTGATTGTTATTTGCTGATTTAAAGTTAAATTATTGAGTTAGACATTTTAAATTATACCATTTTTATAAATATGAAAAGAACAAAAAGCGTTATTATTTACTTAACATATTTTGCTTACTTTAACTTGATAAGAATTAATTTATATTGATTTGTGAGTGTGGAATAAATAGTAATTAGCTTATTTAAAGAATAAATGTTGATTACCTTTGTAAATTTATTGTGGTAAAAGGACCTGCTTCATAAAAGGAGGTAGAGAATAAACAATTCCCTTTGTCAAAATAACATTTTTAGCTTCATCTGGTAGCTCGTCTAAAGTTTTTACAGCCTCCTCAGGAGAAATATTATAAAAAAAGGGCTTTTAGAATATTTTTAAATAAGGATTCCAGAAGAGAGTAAATAAATCAAAGAAGCTGCTTTTTATGAGAAGATTTTGTAAAGAGGAAGAGAGATAATATATAAGGCCTTTATGCTTAAATTTTTTGATTTCTTTAGAGAAAGTGATGTAAATGCTGATCAAGAATATAGATAATACTATGAATGAAAGAAGATCATAAATAGAGTAAAGAAATAAAAATAAAAAGAGGACTAGAGCTCTTTCAATCAATAAGTCATTATAAAAAATATTTCTTATTCTTTTTATTATATTTTAGTCAGATTTTAGCATCCTTAAATCAAAATATTTCTGAAGCTATTTGCGTTTTCAAACCTATACAATTTTATTCTATTTTACTTAAATTCAAAATCCCTACTTTTTAATATGTTTAGTTCTTACTATGCCTTTGTTAAAATTTTAACTATTGAATTTTCTTTATTAAAATCAAGTTCATTCTCCTAAATTAATTGAAATCCAAATAAGTACTTTGCTTTGAATGATTTAATTATTTAGAAACACCCAAATTCTTCACGTAAGTAAGATTAAAAATTCTATTTCATTTAATCCATTCTTTCTTTAATAATTAATATAAATTTAATATTCTTTTTCAAAATAATTTATATAATTAAAACAATTTAAATTAAAAGCAATTATTATTTCATAATCTTTATATTGCATTTCTTAATTTGCTCTTTTATCTATTCAGTTGATGTTTAAAATAGATTCAAAATATTTTATTTATTTTTTAACGATTTAACAAAATTTTTTCATAAATAAGTTAAAATATTAATAAAAAAATTATTTTTTACACCTTTTTTAAAAATCTAATTATCAAAAAAATTATGAAGACATTATTTTTTATTAATAATTTGAATTTTATCTTCAATCAAAAAAATTCATTTATTTTTTTCTAAGAAAATTGTTTTTGTACTTTTTTAAATAAATTAATCAATCAATTATTTATTTATTTATATATTTGATTTGAATTTCTTTTATTAAAAGTTTTGGTAGTTGTTAAGTAGATTTGAAAAGTAGAACAAATTGTTATCTTTCTTATGAAATAAATGGAAATAATAAAGCAGAAAAATAAATGAAGGAATAAAAATTAATAGTAGGATTTTTGAAAAGTAAAGCAGTAGATAAATGGCGATAATACAAATAAAATAAATGTTCAGGAAGAATAAAACTTATTTAGAGCTTTATAAAATTTATTTGATTATGAGATTTCATATTAGAAATCAAGCATTGGGGAAAGAAGCCATGTTGCAGAGACCGCAAGTGTTACCAGCAGCAAGTCTGATAAAACCGCTTTCACCCCAGTTAGGACCCCAAGAGTTTTTAACCTTCCAGTATTTGCCTGAAGCGGAATAACCAACCAAAAGAACACCGTGGTCCAATTCAGTACCGCAGTCAGAGAAGATATCCTTTTGATAGTATTGGAAGTTGTTGGCATCAACGGCAATAGCAATGGGTTGCTTTTAGATCTTGTTCAATAAATCATTGCAGTCCTAGATGTCAGTGTGAGAAGAAATCTTGTAAGGACCAGAAGTCATCTTGCAGGTACCATCAACAGCCTTGTAGGGATAGGCAGCTTCAGTGGGGATACCATGTTGAGAGATGAAGTCGAAAGCAGTGTCCATAAGACCACCATTGCAACCTTCGTTACCGTCCTTGGAACAATCAACCAAGTATTATTCGGAGAGAGAAGTGAGTTTCTTGGTAGAGAGGAAGAGAGCACCTTCAACAGCACCAGTGGTGGAGAAAGACCAGCAAGAACCGCATTGACCTTAATCCTTAACAGGAGTGACGGCACCCTTAGTGGTCCAGTCAATTTCGACACCAGCATCGTTGAATTTAGCGAAAGGAGAAGCCTTAAGACCATTCTTCATCTTCAAGGTAAGGTAAGTTTACTTGAATTCTTCTCTGGTAATATCCATGAATTAGGTGATACCATAGTTCTTGGTGTTGCTTTCAACAACCTTAAGGTTTTCAGTGAAGATTTCGATTCTGTAGCGTTCGAAGTCGGGATCAGCGTACTTCTTGTTGTACTTAGTCTTGAAAGCAGACCAGAGAGCTTGGATATTTTAATCTTCTTGAGTATTGTGGTGAGTCTTGGTCAAGAGGATAGTGGTGGCAGTAGCCAATAAGGCCAAACCAGCAATAGCGAATAAGATGTTTTTATTCATTTTTTGAAAGTTTTTTAGATTTTTAAATTAATTATTATTATTATTGATTTTGTTACTATCCTAAAAATTGTTCTTTTAAAGCTAGCAATTAATTCATTCTCTTTGTCTAGAAATTTACCAAATACATTTATTGGCTAATTAAAATAAACTTTAATCAAAAAATAGAAGGTTTTTTGTTTCTTTTTTGCTTAGAAAAGATAGATGGATAGATAAATAGATACATTCATTCATCTATTAGCTATTTTTCAGCTTTTTGAAAGGTATCCTAATATTTTTTTAGGTACGATTAATACATGAATTTAACAAAAAACCTAAAGAGGAGTTAACATTAATAAAAGAATTTTTTTATTTAATCATTTAAAGTTCCTTTACATCTCATTACATTTCTTTCTTAATTTATTTCTAATTATTTATTATCTTCCTTACAATTTATCCAATTATTTATTTATTTATTTATTTTTATTTAAAAAACCATCCATTAAGAACTTTTTATTTATTATAATTAAAAGGTGATAGATATTAAAGTTTTTATTTTTAATATTATATTTTTTTAGTTAAATTTAACTCTGGTTGTGAGATGCTCCATTAAAAATAAATGCTGAAACAGTTAATATTGGGTTTTAAAAAAATGAACCAAATACATTTTGAGATAATTATTTGATGAGATTAGAAATATTTTTCAATGGAAGTAATAAAAAAGTAAATAAATAAATTGAATAAATCAAGTTAAGCAGTATTTAGAAAAAAATACAATATAAATTTATATTTTTCTTTATCCAAACTAATTTTAGAATAAAATTTGTTATAGCTTAGAGATTTCAATATGAAAGAAAGCCTTTACACCCTCTATCAAAATCAAAAGCTATTTAAAGAGAGAGCTTTTTTAAAAATGATGGAAAAATAAAAATTTCATGCATCTATCTTTCTTTGTAAAAAATATTTCTTTTTGTTGTCTATAAAAAGTAAATATTTTTAACCTGTATTTGCTCCTAGAAGAAATTTAAAAAAAACAAAAAAAAAAATAAAAACTCTATAAGCAGTAACATTGGTTTAAAACAAACAAGCAACCATTTTTAATTTTAACTAAAACCAATTTTGGAATTTATAAATAATATGGTTTTTAAAAGCCAGGTACATATTTTTAACACAATTGTAATGAATTACTTTTACTTTAAAGTAAAAACTGTGAAGAAAAGCTTAATTTTTGATTGATTGATTGATTAATTTACTTAAGAATAATTCTTTTACAAAAATATCTTCTTTTGATCAAATAATTCTTAAACAAAAATATATTCATTAACTATATCTACGAATAAAGCTATATCCTACTATACAAATTTGCATGCTTTATTTCAATTTAAATAAAAGAATTTTTCTTCTCTAAGTTCTATTTTTGTTTCATAAAAATTCATTTTAACTTTTTTCATTTCATAATTTTATTTAAATACTTGAAAATAATTTTTAAAATTTAATTTTATTTAAATATTTGAAAATTCTACTTTAAAAAACTAAATTAAATTTTATCACACGCGCCACACAATCTTTATTTAAAACCATTTTTAAGTATTTCTAAGAGAAAATATTTTGCCTTGACTATTGACTGGTAAAGACTTTTATGACTACATTTAAATTATATAATTTAAAGTTATATTTTAATATTGTATCTTGTTATATTATTATTATATTATTTGAATGTCAGCTAAATAAAAAATCTATTGAAACATCAGCTCAACTTTGATCTTTAAGGATTTAAAGTCAATTTAAATGCAATCAAATATATATTAAGAGATAATTATTGAAGTACTTTAATAATACTGAAAAGCTTAACATTTCTTTGTAATTTATATTAAATATTTAGAAGGGCTTTCATCTAAACCAATAATGAATATTAAATTAATAATTTTCTACAATTTTTTTTCTTCTTTTTTATTAAAATGAGAACATTTTTGTGTATCAATAAATAAATTGTAATGTTGAATATTTAAAAAAATAAATTTAATTTATTATAAAATATAGGCAAAGAATCAATTAAATTTCATACCAAGTAAGCTAGGATAGAAAATAAATAGGTTTTGCTTTAATTTAGAATTAATGAATAATATAATTTTTTTAAGTATCTACTTGCTTTCTGTTAGTGTATGAATAGATTTAATTTATTAATTTAAAGCCATATTTAATCGAATTTTAACATAAATTTACTATTTGGTAATTTAATTTAGATTCCAAACTCATCAAATAAAAATAAAAATAATTTATTTTTTTTTATTTTGTAATATTCAATATTATGTATGAGCTGGTTTTGATTGAAATAAAATTAATTTATATAAATTATTTTACATAATTTGACTTTCAAAAACAGATTTGTCGTTTTTAAACTGATAATCTTTTTTTTGATTATTAATTAAGATTTGGTTTGCACAATTAATTAATTTACAATTTATTGATCAAAAATTTACGAGTATAAAGCAGTATTATATAAAGGATCGACTGCGTTTAGATATAAAGACATTTTTAAACAAAATTATTAAATTTAGCAAAGATTTATGAAATGAAAGGATTATCCATTTTATTTTTTCAAATTCTAATGTTAGCTTTGAGGATATCAGCTATTTAAGATAGAAAACAAAAATAGAACTAAAATCATATGGATGGCAATGATGCAAACTATCAATTAAAGATAAATGAAAATAATAAATAAGATTATTTTATGTTAAGCAAAATTAGAGAAGATAATAGTTCGTGTTACTCAGTAGTGTTCGACGCAGGATCAACAGGGACTAGATATGAAGTGTTTGAGTGGAATTGCGATTAGGCTTTTGTTGAAGATTAGAAATTTATTATTTAATCAATTGAAAGTTCAAAAGATAAATTGCCAATATCTAACTATGAAAGTAATCCAGAAGGTTTAATTTCTGTTTTTGAATAAAAATTTAAAGAAATCAAAGCTATTTTACCTGAAGAAAAAGTTAGTTAAACAGATATTTACTTAGGAGCAACTGAAGGAATGCGCTAACTGAGCTCAGAAAAATAAGAAGCTATTATTAATTAAATTGTTATTATTTTCTAAAATAGTGGATTCCGTTTTTTAGATTCCTCTAAAGCGAGAGTTATAACGGGTAATTAAGAAGGAATATTTCTATGGATTGGTGTAAATAATATGATTTCATAAGTAAGTAAAATTTAGGACATGTTAAATGAGAATACAATTACAGCTATTGATGTAGGAGGCAAGTCTTCTTAAATTGCATTCTTAAAAAATTTTAAAGATGTCAATAAAAACGATGCTCAATTTGAATATTAATTAAGTTCAAACTAGGAACATGTCTTTCTAGTAAATAGTGAAAAACTTGGATTTAAAATTGCTAAAATGGAAATTCTAAAGTAAGAATTTGAAGATTAAAGAGAATAAAATCATGAAAAAGTTTTATTTAGTAGCTGCTATAACAAAGGCTACGAAGGCTATGAAGAAGAGCTCAGTTTTAAGATTATTGGATAAGGCGATCCAGAGAAATGTATTAATTTGATTAGGAGATTCTTTAAATTAGAAAATTGTGAATATCCCAAATTCAGTGACTGCACTGAACAGTCTTCACAACAAAATATTCTTTAGGTTTAGAATAATTAAAAAATATATGTTGTAGAAAATGCCATGCATGCAAGAGTAGCTTATGGTCTTAGAGATTCATATACTCCATAAAAATTAAAAAAAAAGGCTATTAAATATTGTAAAAAACCATATTCTTAAATCAGTTAAAACGAAGATATTTATACTCATAATTAGTGCTTGTAAGGATTATATGTTTCTTCTTTACAAATCGATCATTACGGAATAGATCCTTAACAAACTATTTATTCTCCTTCTTAAATCAATCAATGGGTGCCATCATGGGGAATTGGAATGCTATTGACTGAACTTTTTCATTAAAAATGTAATTTACAAAATGAAAAATAAATCTGTGAGTCTCTGTAATTGCTTTTATCAAATCCTTGAAAAAACAATGATAATAATAATAATAAATTAAAGACTTATTGAAGATATCGATAATGATTTTATTTAATCTATTTTTATGTTTTATTTTATAATTAATTCTTATCAAATATTGCCAATAAGGGGATTAAAAATTTAAAAAATGAAAAATCCATATTATATCTTTAAGAATCCTGCATCGCTCAAATCAACACTTTGATTTTTCAAATTCTGTAAAAACAATTTCTATTTAAAAAAAATTTATTTTTTAATAAAAATGATAACTTTTTTTAAAGAAAATTTTATTCATAAATTTAAAATATTGTATTATATTTCTTTCTTTCTTTCACGAATAAAACAACATAAATGTTCTACTAAATATTATTTATATTTATTTTTCATTTAAATGAGTTTAATGCTTGGGCAATTTTGCTTCCCTTTTTTAATACTTTCATTCCGAAATTTATTGCTTTTCCTAGGAAAGAGAATCCTGCTGCTCCCGGTTTTCCTTCATCAAATTCAGGGCGTCTTCAATAATTTTTATTATATGCAAAAACTTCATAAATTTAAAATATTTGTTGTGATTAAAGAAGAATTTTATTGAGAAATTTAGCTTTATAAAATTGATAAAAAAAATAAGTTTTATATTTTTTAGTTTTTTATTAAAATTAAAAAAATATTTTTTTGATTAACATAAAATTTATTTAATTAAATTGTTTTTATAACATTTAGATCGATCGATGATAGGATTAATAGAATTTTTATTTTTAATATAAGTTAATAATTTTATTGCTTTAAGGATTCTATGTATTTTAGATCAGACAATTGGATAAGAAGCCTAGTTGCAGAGACCACAAGTGTTACCGGCAGAAAGTCTGATATAGCCATCTTCACCCCAAGAACTACCCCAAGAGTTTTTTACCTTCCAAAATTTATCTTTGGATGAATAGCCAACCAAAAGAACTCCATGATCCAAGTTCTTACCACACTTAGAAAAAATACCTTTGGTATAAAATTGAAAATTATTAGCATCAACAGCAATAGCGATGGGTTGCTTTTAGAGTTTACTTAATAAATCGTTGCAACTAATGATATTTTAATAGGAAGAGATCTTGTAAGGACCAGTAGTCATTTTGCAAGTTCCATCTAAAGCCTTGTAGGGATATGCATTTTCAGTGGGAATACCATTCTGAGCAATGAAATCGAAAGCAGTGTCCATAAGACCACCATTGCAACCTTCATTACCATTCTTGGAGCAATCTATCAAATATTATTCAGAGAGAGATACAAGTTCATTAGAAGATAAAAAGTGAGCACCTTCGACAGCACCAGTTGTGGAGAAAGACCAGCAAGAACCGCATTTACCTTAGTCTTTAACAGGAGTAACAGCACCCTTCATAGTCCAGTCGATTTCGATATCACCATTAGAGTCATTGAATACAGTTTCAGGAATTTCCTCAATATACTTTTTGGTCTTTAAGGTTAGGTAAGTTTATTTGAATTCTTCTTAAGTAAGGTCCATGAATTTAGTGATACCAAAGTTTTAACAGTTGCTATCTATGATCTTAAGATTTTCTGTGAAAACTTCAATTCTGTATTGTTCAAAATCGGGATCAGCGTACTTCTTATTATAACTATTTTTGAAAGTAGACCAAAGGGTTTTGATATTTTCCTCATCTCTAATTTTGTGGTGAGTCTTACATAATAAGATTGTACAACAAGTACAAGCAGCAAGCAAAGTTAAGCCAGCAATAGTGAATAATTATTATTTTCTATTCATTTCTAAATTAGTTAATCTTTAATTATTCTAAATATTTTTAATTTATCAAAGTGAAAATCTTTTTTAAGCCTAAATTCCCAGACAAAAAGATAAAAATTAATAGATTAAATCGATTATCAAATATCTAAAAATAAACACAACATTTATTTTGAAAAATTATATTTTCTTGATTATAAAATTCTTATTATATTTTGAAATCAATCTATAAATTGATTCAATTATCCAAATCTATCTAAAAATACAATCAATACTTGTAAGCATTTATTTAATTTAAAAAATTAGATATACTTGATTGTAATATTCTTATTATAATTTGAGATGTTACAATCAAATCTATTTAAACTAACATATTTTCTATAAGAATTTGCATTAAAAATCAGCTATTTAAAACAAAATTTAAAAAAATAGAAAATCAAGCATTTAAAAAAATCAAATATCTTTAGTTCATTTTTATTTGAATAATATAATCCATATCATGTTATTCTACTTTGATTATCTATTTATTTATTTTACAATTTGTTTTCAAATATTTCTTGAATTTTTCAGATAGATTAAGCTGATAAACCCCCTTTTTATTAGAAACGACTTTACTTCTTCTAAAAAGTTTTTGCTTTTTGAGAAATCTTTATTTAACAGTAAAATAAAAATTATTTCAATATTTTCTAGTTAAATTTCATTTATTTAAATTAATTCCTTGTTTCAATTTTTTAAAATGCATTTTAAAACTTAAAAAATCTCTTGAATTTATCACATTTCTTTTGACCATTAAAACAGCTGATAGTGAAGAAAAAAGAAAAAGCTAACAACAAAATATATAAAAGCTTAACTTTTTTCTACGAATACTTAACTATTGAATTATTATTTTTACAAATGATATCAATAGCTTTTATCTAAAAACAATATTTGCTAAGAGAGAAAATTTGATTGAAAATAAATTCTAAAAATAATTAATTATTTATCAACTTATTAACTAGCTAAAGCAATCTAATATTTTCTTTTAGTATTTTCCTTTAGATTTTTATTTATTGTATTTTTTTTTCATTTTATAAAATTGATTTTAATTTTAACTTCAAATATTATTCAAAAAATTAATTGACAAAATTTAAAAACTGTTTTCAAATTGAAAATTAACTCTTAAAAATTTACATTAATTTAATATATAACTGTGATTTGAAATATCATCAGCCATTAATTATATCATGATTGGTGATATTTCAAATGTATGTTATAATTAATTTTTTCAAATAGGACTAATTAATAACTGACCATCTCTAATTCCTACTATATATATTTTTAAGTGTTTGTTTTAAATACAAATATTAAGTTTAGATAGTGAATGTTAAATTAATTTGTATGTGATATCTCTTCATAAAACCAAATTATAAATTTATATTTGATAATTAATTAATTATTATATTTATTTGTTCTTTTTATCCATTTATAATTAATTAATTAATCAAATTTCATAAATTGCTATTCAATATTTTTGAAGAAAAAAAAAATGATATAATAGATTAAAAAATATAATAGATTAGAAGAAGTAATTATTAATTTTTATATTAATATCCTTTAAATTTATTTTAATTTATAAAAAAAGTTTTTAAGCTCTTCACATTTACCTCATTAGATTCTCCATCTTGATCTGGGGTATATTTAATTAAAAGATATTCTTTTTTTTATTATTAATATTTTTTGTATATTTAATTTTAAATTTATTTAAATAAATAATTTTTATTTAGAAATTATCATCATTATTTAATGATTTTTATTAATACAAAAAGTTTTTAGCTATTTTAACTTAATTTTCATTTCAATTTTTAATTAATTATTTATTTTCATTTTTTATTATTTGATACTTTTTCTTCATTTTTTGCTATTAAAACTTACGGTTACCCATTAGCTAAAGTTATCTTCAATTCATATTAATTGTATTAGAGGCGTAGCGAGAAATTTGAAAAGTTTTATAGAAAATGGATATGAAATTAAAAATAAAGCATAAATATTAGAATTTCTAAGAAATTTATCTACTGGTGATAGCACATAATATATTTATTTGATTCAAACTCATTAAACTTAAAAGAATTACCAGTTATTTTAAAGTTCATCTTTTTACTGAATATGTTAAGACATTTTTTCATCTTAAAATAAAAGTTTAAGGATTAATGATATTATTTTAAAGAATATTGATTTTTATATAATACTGTAACCTACATAGGATATAGAATTTGATTTTAGATCTTATACGATCGACGCCGATGAGAGACACATAGAAAAATTAAAAAATGAATTGAAATAGGGTAAAGATATAAAATAAAACGAAAATTTATTAAAGTAAAAATTTGAAAATTACTTTAAACTAAAAAATAAACGCATGTTTGAAATATTGAGTAGTTTTTTCGTTTTTTTTGCTGAATAAATTAACGAATGCCCTTCCTAAAAATAATATAATTTTTTGAGATAATTTATATTCGGTCTCATAGAAAGATTCCATTTTGTTTTCTAAAATCTATAAAATACAATTTAGATAGTTACTAGTTTCAAAGTTTCTAATGAATACTAAGATCGTAATTAAGATTATTTTGAATTTGGGACTGGATATTACAGTAGTTATTTTTATCAGGTTACATTTAACATAAATTTATAATAGAAAAAAGAAAAACCTAAGAAATAAAAAAAAAATAATGAAACTGAAAAAATAGTATGTTAACATTCGACTGTTGAAGTATCTGATATAGACATATCTTCATAAGATTCATCTTTTGAAGTTCCTCCCTAAATTCCTACAACTTAATCTTCTGTGATGGAAATACCTCCTTAGGCACCTACCATAGAATAAACTGATATCAATGTAGAAGAACTCAAATTGGGAGGACTTAAATTAGAAGAACTTAAAGTAGGAGAACTAGAGAAGGAAGAATCCAAGTAAAAAGAAACTAAAGAAATAAAATACGAATTACCATTCCCTATAAGTTATATTCTTGGTTCTTAAATTGAAGAGAGTTTAAAAGATTATGAAATTTAAAAATATCTTTCCAACGATCTAAAAACTAGGCTTATAATTAGTTGTATCAAATTTACTCCTTAATAAGTCGAATAAGATCTTTATTATGATGAAAATGGAATGCCAATTTACATATAATAAGAAATATAGGAGCTCCGGATTAAAAATTTTGTAACACTCAGCGACTCAGCCAAAAAATAATATGAATTGGAGAAAAAATAAGAAGAATAAAATAAATCACTTGATGAATGATTGTTAAATGAAAATAAAAATATATCTCTGAAATAATGAAATTTCTATATTAATCGAAAAACAAAAAAAAAACAATAAAAAAAAAAGAAGAAAAAGAAAAAAAAATAAAAAAATAAAACAAAAAAAATAAAAAACTTTTAGTTTTAATTTATAGATTAGATAAAAATTGAAAAAAAACAATTGTGAAACATTATGATATATTTATATTAAGAAAAAGTAATAGTATCAGTACAATGAGTGTTAATACCAGTCTAAAGAAAAAAAATAATAATAAGAACAAAATAAATCACTTGATGAATGATTGTTAAATGAAAATAAAAATATATCTCTGAAATAATGAAATTTCTATATTAATCGAAAAACAAAAAAAAAACAATAAAAAAAAAAGAAGAAAAAATAAAAAAATTAAACAAAAAAAATAAAAAACTTTTAGTTTTAATTTATAGATTAGATAAAAATTGAAAAAAAACAATTGTGAAACATTATGATATATTTATATTAAGAAAAAGTAATAGTATCAGTACAATGAGTGTTAATACCAGTCTAAAGAAAAAAAATAATAATAAGAACAAAACAATTTAAGGCAACTATTAAGACATTGTCAATAAATTGTATTCAATACAAATTAAAAATGTTGTGCAAGAAATAAAGAATAAATACTTTAAAAGATTATAACCTAAAAAATCTAATATGATAGAGAAAAGTCTATTCTTGATAGAGTTGCATAGGAAGAAGAATAGAAAATCTAGGAAGAAGAAAAAAAGACCCTTGAATAAATTATGATAAAGGAAAAAGAATTGGAAAAAAAAATTAAAAGAAAACCTTTGATTATATTATTAGATTAGATATAGAATTCTGCTAAACTTTGTTGCAACAAAAATAATAAAACTTAAGAAAGTCTTGAAGAATTTCTTAAAAAATTCGCCGAAGGAGAAATTGAAGAGCCATCTAAATTGAAAATAAAACTCAATTTGCATGATAAAGAAGCATAATTTAGCTTAGATAAATTAAAAGATGAAATAAATTCAATAGAATAAAATAATTTCACAATAGAAAGAGAAGATGAAAATTAAGCAAGTGAATATGTAGAATATTTGAAATCTCTTTTCAATTATTATTTCAAAGCTAAAAAAGATCTCATGTTTATTTTCTTAAATGATTTTATCTAAAATTCTATGAAATCTTTCAATACCGAATTTGATAAATATGATTTAAATATTCTTAAGGGATAAAATATTTAAGAGTTTTTGTAAAAATTCTAATTCGAATTCAGTTTTTGCTATGATGCTTTTTAAATAAAATCAGAAATTATTCTCAACAACGGAGAACCCTAGGATATTTTATAGGGAGATTAGGAAAGAGATTATAGAAAAATGCAATTCTATTTCAAATTTTCTACAGTTTTGAAAAAAGATCTTGATTTATTCATATTTTTCTAATAGAAATAAATTAAATAAAAGATATCTACATCAGCTGAAGATTTGGACAATATGAGATTCGTGGACTAATTTTATCCTTTTTATTGCGAACATATTTGTCCTGTAAAATATTTCTTTGATAGAAATTTTCTCATAGAATTATAGTGTTATAATCCACACTTACATCTTTTGTCAGAGCAAGATTATTAGGATCTCAAGATTAGTCTTTCCATAAAAAACAAAAAGGGAAAAATAATGAAATTGAAATATTCTTAAATTGAAAAATATTAAATTTCTGGTACTATCATGGGTTATAAAAGAGGATAAAAAAAATAAAGTATAATGACTGAAAGCATAAATACTTTAGTATTTTGCAAAAAGATGAATAAATACCTTTTTAATTCTTCTTTAAATAATGAAATGAATTGATTTATTTCATCTCCAAATTACCACAAATAAATACTTTTTTGACGACATATATTGTCTGAATCAATTAAATCTTATATAATCAAAAAACAAAAAAAAAACAATAAAAAAAAAATAAAAAAAAGAAAAAAAAATAAAAATAAAAAAACAAAAAAATAAAAAACTTTTAGTTTTAATTTATAGATTAGATAAAAATTGAAAAATATTAATTGTAAAACATTAATACAAATTTAAAAGAATAAAAAGAAATAGATCATAGATAATAGTATCATAGATAAAAGTATAATGAGGAGTAGTAAAAACACGAGAAACAGAAATAGAAATAGTAAAACCAATAGGAATGTTCTTGAAGAATACTTCAATGCTAAGCAATAGTTATAATAGTTATAACAATAAAATTAATAATCCAATGGTTAGGCTGTTCTTAAATATCTTACCGGTAAAGACGACCCGAAATAACTCAGTAGAGAAGAAAAGAAAGATGTTGTTTAAAATCTTAAAAATATTACAGAAAATAAGAAAGAAAAAGATCCTTAATTTTGCGAAAGATTATGCTTGAGATTTTTAGCAATTACAATAGAAGATAATGCTTCGAAATTATTCAACAATAATGAAGAAACAAAAAAGATTCTTAATGATTTCATTTAAAGCAAAGACGATTAACAATATTCAAATTTTTAAGTGAAACTTAATTTGCAAGATTCTGAGGCTGAGAAATTAAGAAATTAAATTTAGGTTAAGCTGAACAGATTTTAAAGATAAAAAAAAAATTAAATTTTCTCCGATTTTTAAGATGTCACGGATTATATAGATGAATTAGAATTTTAATTTGTTTCTTACTTCTTTAAAAATAAATTAAATGCGATGTTTAATTTCTTGACAAATTATATTGTCTAATCAATAGAATCTTTTACCGATTGTGAATGGTAAAATTTTTATCAGAATATGTAGAAATTCTAACTTATTTTTAGCTTTTTCGATGATACTTTCCAAATAAAACCGGAAATTATTTTTAATTATGAAGAGGATTCTTAAAATAACTAGAAAGAAGAAAAAAAAGAGGAAAGAGATTATAAGAAATTATAATTCTATATAAAATTTACAGTAGATTCAAATAAAGAATTAAAAAAACCAGAGAAAAGATAGATATTCTTTGATAATGAATTAGTTGTCCTATAGCTGTAGAATGAATTATCTCCCGCAAAATATTTCTTAACTGAAGATTTAATAAATGAATTGAGTTGTTACGAACCATACTTTTATATTTCATAAGATAAAAAATAGTAGCTCGATAAGGAAGGAATTAACTTCGTCATAAAAAATAAAGAAATATAAAAAATTTCAATGAAAGTTCCCTGTGAAATTATTTGTCTAAATAAAGGTTCTACTAAAACAGAGACAAAGTTGGTTTCGAAACTCATGGAAAGTAAAAATTTAAATACTGAAGTACTCAGTGATAAAATTAAATCTATAATGAATGAAGTGAAATGAATTGATTTATTTCAGTTCCAATTTAAATTTATAATCTAATACTTTTTGATGACACATATTGTCTGAATCAATGAAATCTTATATAATCAAAAAACAAAAACAAAAAAAACAATAAAAAAAAATAAAAAAAAGAAAAAAAAAATAAAAAAACAAAAAAAAAATAAAAAAAAACTTATAGTTTTTTAAATTTAAATCAAAAAAAACTAATTTTTTTCATAAATTATAAAAACTTTTCCATATAAATAACTAAAAATTCATAAATCATATCAGTGGCAATTTTAGTAAATATAAAAATAAGTGCATATCTCTATATATCAAAATTTAGCTTATTTTTTACATATTATATTAATTTTTCAATTAAAAAAACTTAATTTTTCTCTATTTCTTTTATTCTGAAATCATATTAATTTTCAGCTTATTTTTTCTAATCATTTGATAATTTTTATAATCCATATTAAACTCTGTAAATATTAGACATTTTATTATAATTTAATGATAAAATCTTTAAAGTTTACTTTTATTAAAAAAATTGAAATAATTTTATTACTAAGTTATATAATAAATCTTATATAAAAATAAAAATAAAAAAAAATCAAATTTTAGTTTCACAAAACTTTATTTTCTATTAATACAACAAAAAGTTTATTTTAAATGTCTTCTTTGGTTTCTTCTCAAACTCAATCTAATCAAGAATATGTCAAAGTTATTTCTTATAATGTTTTTAAATCATTATTTTAAAAAATACATAAGATTGAATAAGGACATGATATGGGATCATTATCTGAAGTTAACAAAAATTACATAAACACTAACTTTTTCAATAACATTCCAAGAACAAGAGATATTGTAAAAAATGGTACAATTTCACACGATGATTAAACCTTCGGAATTTTGAATCAAAAAATACAAGATACATTCTAAGTAAACATTAAATATGTTTCATTATAAGAATTTTTCAAATTACCTCAAAATGGAATTTCATAGGATAATGTAAAGAAAATACTTGATTAAATATAAGGAAATAATATTTCAAATCTAATTCAAAATTATGTTGAAAAATATATTAACAAAAGAAAAGAAAAATTATTTGATGTTTCTGATATGTTTAAAATCGAATCAGAAGAAAAATAATATAAAATATGGAATTTAGAATAAAATTAATTAATTGTTCCTAAACTCGATAATCTATTTTAAAAATCAGATGTTATTTGTTAATTCAATTAACTGAGATTTAGTTAAGAATCATTATAAATCGCTTCAGGTTTAATAGGATCAATTGTATCATATGAATAATTTGAATTCTTTATGAATAAATTAATTAAAAAATTATTTAGAAGTATAACTTTTAAAGTTAGATATATTCGAACATATTTTTGTGTTATTTTGAAATTATAATAAATTAAATTATTAATTAATAATAATTCTATTATAAAATATATATATATTAAATTTTTTAATAAATAAATAAAAAAATCTATTTAATAAAAAGTGGCATACAAACCATGAAATTTTTGTATGGCATCTTGCTATATTAGAGATATTATAAATATTCCTTAAAATTACTGAACTAAAACAAAAAAATCTACTTATAAACATTATTTTTATAAAATTTAAGAACATTAACTACTAGAATTAATTTTTTCAAATAGGACTAAATAAATAAATAACTGACTATCTCTAATTCCTACTATATATATTTTTAAGTGTTTGTTTTAAATACAAATATTAAGTTTAAATAGTGAATGTTAAATTAATTTGTATGTGATATCTCTTCATAAAACCAAATTATAAATTTATATTTGATAATTAATTAATTAATATATTTATTTGTTCTTTTTATCCATCTATAATTAATTAATTAATTAATCAAATTTCATAAATTGCTATTCAATATTTTTGAAGAAAAAAAAAATGATATAATAGATTAAAAAATATAATAGATTAGAAGAAGTAATTATTAATTTTTATATTAATATCCTTTAAATTTATTTTAATTTATAAAAAAAGTTTTTAAGCTCTTCACATTTACCTCATTAGATTCTCCATCTTGATCTGGGGTATATTTAATTAAAAGATATTCTTTTTTTTATTATTAATATTTTTTGTATATTTAATTTTCAATTTATTTAAATAAATAATTTTTATTTAGAAATTATCATCATTATTTATTTAATGATTTTTATTAATACAAAAGTTTTTTAGCTATTTTAACTTAATTTTCATTTCAATTTTTAATTAATTATTTATTTTCATTTTTTATTATTTGATACTTTTTCTTCATTTTTTGCTATTAAAACTTACACTTAATAAAAGCAGTTTTTTGATTTGCATTGTAATATTTTTAATTATAAAAGTTAATTTAAAACATTAAAGCTCTTTTAATTTATTTGACTTGATTTTTTTTCCTTTTTCTTTTTATTATAATTTATTATTTTTTGATTCTTTGTTAATTTTATTTATTATTAATTAATCTTATTATTTCATTTTTCCCTCCTAATTAACTATAGTGAAATACCACCTTTTTAATTTATAAAAGGCGAAATGTAATATATCTTAATAACTTAATATAAAGCTAAATTAGCTTAAAATAACTTTTTATAGAAAGCTTTAAATTCAGAAAATGTCAATTTGAAATTATATGTACCACATATTCTTATAACATATCATTTTTTTTGAAATATAAATTTTTAAAACCTAGGATAAAAAAAAACACATAAAAAATATTTTAAATTTTAATTTTATAAAATATAATTAAACTCGCTTTTTGTAAATTTGTATGGCAACTTACTCTATTTAATGATAAATTTTTTCTTTAATATTTAAAAAGTTACAATAAATTTCCTGGAATGGGTGCATCAAGCTTAGGTTCTGGTTTAGCAAATTGCATTAATCTCTCAATTTTGACACTTAACCTTGAGTAAAAACAGTTTATTTGTTTTGGATTGTGATATTTTTAATTATAAAAACTAATTAAAAGCAATAAAGCTCTTTTTTCTTTTTCTTTTTATCGTGCTTGCTTTTTTTTGTATTTTCTTTGTTAATAAAGCTCATCATTTATTTCAAACTTTTGCTTTTATTATTAATTAATTAATCTTATTATTTCATATTTTTTCTTCATTTTTTCCTTCTAATTAACTATTTAATGATATATTTTTTCTTCAATATTTAAAAAAGGTAAAATTAAATTGGTGAGATGGGTGCATCAGACTTAGGTTCAGCTTTAGCAAAATGCATTAATCTCTCAAATTTGATACTTGATCTTAGGTAAAAACAGTTTATTTGTTTTGGATTGTGATATTTTTAATTATAAAAACTAATTAAAAACAATAAAGCTATTTTTTCTTTTTCTTTTTATCGTGCTTGTTTTTTTTTGTATTTTCTTTGTTAATTAAGCTCATCATTTATTTTAAACTTTTGCTTTTATTATTAATTAATCATATTATTTCATATATTTTCTTCATTTTTTCCTTCTAATTAACTATTTAATGATATATTTTTTCTTCAATATTTAAAAAGTTACAATTAAATTGGTACAATGGGTGCATCAGGCTTAGGTTCTGGTTTAGCAAAATGCATTAATCTCTCAAATTTGACACTTTATCTTAGGTAAAAACAGTTTATTTGTTTTGGATTGTGATATTTTTAATTACAAAAACTAATTAAAAACAATAAAGCTCTTTTTTCTTTTTCTTTTATCATGCTTGTTTTTTTTTTTGTATTTTGTTTGTTAATTAAGCTCATAATTTATTTCAAACTTTTGCTTTTATTATTAATTAATCATATTATTTCATATTATTTCTTCATTTTTTCCTTCTAATTAACTATTTAAAAGATATATTTTTTCTTCAATATTTAAAAAGTTCTAATTTAATTGGTGATAAAGGTGCTTCAGGCTTAAGTTCAGCTTTAGCAAAATGCATTAATCTCTCAAATTTGACACTTTATCTTAGGTAAAAACAGTTTATTTGTTTTGGATTGTGATATTTTTAATTACAAAAACTAATTAAAAACAATAAAGCTCTTTTTTCTTTTTCTTTTATCATGCTTGTTTTTTTTTTGTATTTTGTTTGTTAATTAAGCTCATAATTTATTTCAAACTTTTGCTTTTATTATTAATTAATCATATTATTTCATATTTTTTCTTCATTTTTTCCTTCTAATTAACTATTTAATGATATATTTTTTCTTCAATATTTAAAAAGGTAAAATTAAATTGGTGCAATGGGTGCATCAGGCTTAGGTTCTGGTTTAGCAAAATGCATTAATCTCTCAATTTTGACACTTAACCTTGAGTAAAAACAGTTTATTTGTTTTGGATTGTGATATTTTTAATTACAAAAACTAATTAAAAACAATAAAGCTCTTTTTTCTTTTTCTTTTTATCGTGCTTGCTTTTTTTTGTATTTTCTTTGTTAATAAAGCTCATCATTTATTTTAAACATTTTCTTTTATTATTAATTAATTTTATTATTTCATATTTTTTCTTCATTTTTTCCTTCTAATTAACTATTTAATGATATATTTTTTCTTCAATTTTTAAAAAGTTACAATAAAATTGGTGATGAAGGTGTATCAGGCTTAGGCTCTGGTTTAGCAAAATGCATTAATCTCTCAAATTTGACACTTTATCTTAGGTAAAAACAGTTTATTTGTTTAGGATTGTGATATTTTTAATTATAAAAATTTCTTTTTTCTTTTTCTTTTTATCGTGCTTGTTTTTTTTTGTATTTTCTTTGTTAATTAAGCTCATCATTTATTTCAAACTTTTGCTTTTATTATTAATTAATCATATTATTTCATATTTTTTCTTCATTTTTTCCTTCTAATTAACTATTTAAAAGATATATTTTTTCTTCAATATTTAAAAAGTAGAAATTAAATTGGTGCAATGGGTGCATCAGGCTTAGGTTCAGCTTTAGCAAAATGCATTAATCTCTCAAATTTGATACTTGATCTTAGGTAAAAACAGTTTATTTGTTTTGGATTGTGATATTTTTAATTATAAAAACTAATTTAAAACAATAAAGCTCTTTTTTCTTTTTCTTTTTATCGTGCTTGCTTTTTTATTTTTTCTTTGTTAATTAACTCATCATTTATTTTAAAAATTTTCTTTTAATATTAATTAATTTTATTATTTCATATTTTTTCTTCAATATTTAAAAAGTTGCAATTCAATTGTTGATGAAGGTGCATCAGGCTTAGGTTCAGCTTTAGCAAAATGTATTAATCTCTCAAATTTGACACTTAGTCTTTTGTAAAAACAGTTTTTTTGTTTTGGATTGTGATATTTTTAATTATAAAAACTAATTAAAAACAATAAAGCTCTTTTTTCTTTTTCTTTTTATCGTGCTTGTTTTTTTTTTGTAATTTTTTTGTTAATTAAGCTCATCATCTATTTTAAACTTTGCTTTTATTATTAATTAATCATATTATTTCATATTTTTTCTTGATTTTTTCCTTCTAATTAACTATTTAATGATATATTTTTTCTTCAATATTTAAAAAGTTGCAATTCAATTGTTGATGAAGGTGCATCAGGCTTAGGTTCAACTTTAGCAAAATGCATTAATCTCTCAAATTTGGTACTTGATCTTAGGTAAAAACAGTTTATTTGTTTTGGATTGTGATATTTTTAATTATAAAAACTAATTTAAAACAATAAAGCTTTTTTTCTTTTTCTTTTATCGTGCTTGCTTTTTTGGTTTTTCTTTGTTAATTAAGCTCATCATTTATTTTAAACGTTTGCTTTTATTATTAATTAATTTTATTATTTTATATTTTTTCTTCATTCTTTCCTTCTATTCTAATTAACTATTTAATAATATATTTTTTCTTAAATATTTAAAAAGGTAAAATTAAATTAGTGCAATTGGTGCATCAGGCTTAGGTTCAGCTTTAGCAAAATGCATTAATCTCTCAAATTTGACACTTGAACTTGGGTAAAAACAGTTTATTTGTTTTGGATTGTGATATTTTTAATTATAAAAACTAATTAAAAATAATAAAGCTTTTTTTTTTTCTTATTATTGTTCTTGCCTTTTTTTGTTTATTCTTTGGTAATTAAGCTCATCATTTTATTTTCAACCTTTGCTTTTATTATTAATTAATTAATCTTATAATTTCATATTTTTTCTTCGTTTTTTCCTTCTAATTAATTAACTATTTAATAATATATTTTTCCTTCAATATTTAAAAAGTTAGAATTCAATTGGTGATGAAGGTGCATCAGGCTTAGGTTCTGATTTAGCAAATTGCATTAATCTCTCAAATTTGACACTTAACCTTTAGTAAAAACAGTTTATTTGTTTTGGATTGTGATATTTTTAATTATAAAAACTAATTAAAAACAATAAAGCTCTTTTTTCTTTTTCTTTTATCGTGCTTGCTTTTTTGTTTTTTCTTTGTTAATTAATTTCATCATTTATTTTAAACATTTGTTTTTTATTAATTAATTTTTATTATTTCATATTTTTTCTTCATTTTTTCCTTCTAATTAACTATTTAATGATATATTTTTTCTTCAATATTTAAAAAGGGATAATTAAATTGGTGTAATGGGTGCATCAGGCTTAGGTTCTGGTTTAGCAAAATGCATTAATCTCTCAAATTTGACACTTAATCTTTGGTAAAAACAGTTTATTTGTTTTGGATTTAGATATTTTTAATTATAAAAACTAATTTAAAATAATAAAGATGTTTTTTCTTTTTCTTTTTATAGTGCTTGCTTTTTTTTTTTTTTCTTTGTTAATAAAGCTCATCATTTATTTTAAACTATTGCTTTTATTATTAATTAATCATATTATTTCATATTTTTTCTTCATTTTTTCCTTCTCGTTAACTATTTAATGATATATTTTTTCTTCAATATTTAAAAAGTTCTAATATAATTGGTGACAAAGGTGCATCAGACTTAGGTTCTGGTTTAGCAAAATGCATTAATATCTCAAATTTGACACTTAATCTTTTGTAAAAACAGTTTATTTGTTTTGGATTGTGATATTTTTAATTATAAAAACTAATTAAAAACAATAAAGCTCTTTTTTCTTTTTCTTTTATCGTGCTTGCTTTTTTGTTTTTTCTTTGTTAATAAAGCTCATCATTTATTTCAAACTTTTGCTTATATTATTAATTAATTTTATCATTTCATATTTTTTCTTCATTTTTTCCTTCTAATTAACTATTTAAAAGATATATTTTTTCTTCAATATTTAAAAAGTAGAAATTAAATTGGTGCAATGGGTGCATCAGGCTTAGGTTCAGCTTTAACAAAATGCATTAATCTCTCAAATTTATAACTTAACCTTGAGTAAAAACAGTTTATTTGTTTTGGATTGTGATATTTTTAATTATAAAAACTAATTAAAAACAATAAAGCTCTTTTTTCTTTTTTTTTTTATCATGCTTGTTTTTTTTTTTGTATTTTTTTTTTTAATTAAGCTCATCATTTATTTCAAATTTTGATTTTATTATTAATTAATTAATCTTATTATTTCATATTTTTTCTTCATTTTTTCCTTCTAATTAACTATTTAATGAAATATTTTTTCTCCAATATTTAAAAAGGGGTAATTAAATTGGTAACAAAGGTGCATCAGGCTTAGGTTCAGCTTTAGCAAAATGTATTAATCTCTCAAATTTGACACTTAGTCTTTTGTAAAAACAGTTTTTTTGTTTTGGATTGTGATATTTTTAATTATAAAAACTAATTAAAAACAATAAAGCTCTTTTTTCTTTTTATTTATTATTAATTAATCATATTATTTCATATTTTTTCTTCATTTTTTCCTTCTAATTAACTATTTAATGATATATTTTTTCTTCAATATTTAAAAAGCTAAAATTAAATTGGTGCAATGGGTGCATCAGGCTTAGGTTCAGCTTTAGCAAAATGCATTAATCTCTCAAATTTGATACTTGATCTTAGGTAAAAACAGTTTATTTGTTTTGGATTGTGATATTTTTAATTATAAAAACTAATTTAAAACAATAAAGCTCTTTTTTCTTTTTCTTTTATCGTGCTTGCTTTTTTATTTTTTCTCTGTTAATTAAGCTCATCATTTATTTTAAACTTTTGCTTTTATTATTAATTAATTAATCATATTATTTCATATATTTTCTTCATTTTTTCCTTCTAATTAACTATTTAATGATATACTTTTTCTTCTATATTTAAAAAGTTCTAATTTAATTGGTGATAAAGGTGTATCAGACTTAGGTTCTGGTTTAGCAAAATGCATTAATCTCTCAAATTTGACACTTAATCTTCGGTAAAAACAGTTTATTTGTTTTGGATTTAGATATTTTTAATTATAAAAACTAAATTAAAATAATAAAGATCTTTTTTCTTTTTCTTTTTATAGTGCTTGCTTTTTTTGTTTTTTCTTTGTTAATAAAGCTCATCATTTATTTTAAACTATTGCTTTTATTATTAATTAATTAATCTTATTATTTCATATTTTTTCTTCATTTTTTCCTTCTAATTAACTATTTAATGATATATTTTTTCTTCAATATTAAAAAAGTCTGAATTAAATTGGTGATGAAGGTGCATCAGGCTTAGGTTCTAGATTAGCAAATTGCATTAATATCTCAAATTTGACACTTGAACTTGAGTAAAAACAGTTTATTTGTTTTGGATTGTGATATTTTAAACTATAAAAATGAATATAAAAAAAAATCTCTTTGAATTTATTTGATTTATTTTTTTATCTTTTTTATTGCACTAATATTATTTTATTTATTAATTTAAAGAATAATTTTTAATTTAAAAGTTTATTCTATTTTGATATTTGTTTAAAACAAATTTATTTTAAAATGTTTAGCCGAATGAATAAATCAGAAAAATTCAAAGTAATAGGCAAGTGTCTTAAATTATAACGATTAGTTGTCTTTAATTTTAAAAGCTTCTGATAAAAAAAGGATGAATAAATATAAAATGTTTGAATAATATTATATATTTTATTATTTAATATTTTGAAAAAGTGTTTTTAACCTAAAATATAAATAGATTTATAGATGTTATTATTGATTTTATATTTATAAATATCATTCATATTTTTGTAAGTTAATAAATTATTTATTAAAAATAAAATAAATTAAATCCTCTTAAGCAAACCCTCCGAATTCTCCAAAAATGATCAAATAATTTGGAAATTTTAGTTTTATATTATATTTTATTAAATTATATAAATACCAAGCTTTTATATGCCAGTTATATTTTAATCTTAAATATTATAGAGAATTTACAATCGGGGCTTTTTAGGATCAGTAGGCAGAAAAAAACCTCTCTGCCTACTATTTTTTCGCCTTCCAAGTATTTTCCTTGGGGGATACTTTTTTATACTTTTTTAAAAACATTTTTACAAATTTTTAAATATCTTTAAAAAATTTGAGAACAAAAATCAAATATTTAGAAATATTTGATAAAATATGATAAAAAGAATAAAGCTAATCCTTGAATGAAATAAATTTATTAGCATAAAAATTATACAAAATATGATTTTTAGCTAAAAATTATTGTTTTTACAAAATAGATACATTTTAAACATAAATATTGAGTTATTTTTAAAACTATTTTTATATCTAAGTTATTTAAAAATTTTTTTCTATTTTATTTATCTTTGTTAGTTTTTAATATTTTGTCATATTTTAAAGATTAAGGTTAAACTCTTCAGTGAATTTTTATTTAGTGTTCATTTTTCTTCTTACATATCATGCTCTTTTTGATAAGTAGAGGGACTATTAAGATGCCTAATAAAGTTATTTTGATTGAATTAATCATCCACATTAGATTATTAAATTAAATGCTAATGTTAAAACTGTTGAAATTAATTATTAGGATTTAACCAAAATTACTAGAAACTATTTTATAATGTATTTTTTTGCTGATAAGTTTCGTTTTAGTTTTATTAAAATTGATTACTAAAGTCATCATTTGTTTGTTAATTTATTTGGTTGTTAAGAAATTGACTGTTATTATTATGAGATTATGAATCTTTCTCAAAAGAAGGCATATTTATATCTCTTATCTAATTAAAATTTTGATACTAACTCATCTAGGTAAAATATTAATGCTTATGTTACATCATATTTTAACTATAATGATGCATTGAAACTTAATCTGCTTGTGTTTTCATTTAATTTTGTTAGAAAATTTCTTTGTTGATTATCAAATTTGGTTACTCTTATTAATTAATTTGCCCATAGCTAGTGAGTTATTAATTTTTTTATTATATGCTTGATAAAATTTAATAAGAACTGCCTTGATTCTCAAATTTTGCTTCAGGTTAATGTAACAATTTCGAATTCATTATATCTTCTTTATAATTCTCACTTTATTAAACACTTAATCTAGTTTGTTAATAAAAATAGTCATTCTAGTCATGGTTAATATCGTCATTAGTATATTTAATATCATCATTAAATTATCTTATTTCACCTATTTAATCCTCAAACCAGCTTTGTTGACCAAAGTTAATACCAGTAAAGACAGATAATTTAACATCATTTAAAATAGAATCATTTTTATTAAAAGTAAAGTCCAATATTGATCCAAACTAGTTGCTATTTTTAGTGTTTTGATTTGAGCCTTAAAGTTATCCACTTTATAAAGAATTCTAGCTGATTTTTTCTTCATCAAACAAATTTTATTATGGAAGATTGTTGTTAATTTATAGTTTTTATACACCTTCTGTTACAGTTTCAAGCTCAGACTTTTCAGTTTTATATTTTTTGATAAGCTATTCTTTTGATGTATCTTAAGAAGATTCCTCTTCAGAATCAGTAGGAGATTTTAATTCATCTTTTATTTTGATAAGAGAAAGATAAGCTTTTTAATATGCTTCCTTAATTCTTTCAATATCTTTTACTTCTTTGAAGTTTTCAGGAATAGTTTATGGATCTTAAACAATTTGCACTACATTTTCGTTTATGAGTTTAAAAAAATCGCGAATCTATTAATTTTGAGTTAATTTATAAATGCTTTTTAATTCCATAAAAAAATTACTCTTTTTAATTCAATAGATTCTAAGGAAAGGGTGTGTTCTACATAAAGGATCAGAGGTATTTCTTAAATTGTGATATCATTTTTCATCTTGGAATTTATATAGGTTGTTTACAGATTATATTATACAACTTATAGGAATTCTAAATAATCCTATTTTATTTATAATCTGTTAATAAATTAGTAATTTTAAATAATTAACTTACATCACTATAAGGAATTAAGTTGGTGTTATGATACATTTTTACACAATAACTAAATTTTATAGCTAAAAAGACAGGATGTTTTATTTTGAAGCGTATATTAGGGGCCGAAATAAAGTTACTCAAGCCATTTATATCATTCTCTATAGGCAAATCTTTTGAATGTTTTTTTCTACTAAACCTTTTAACATATTTCCTATCCAAACTTTCTGGTAAAAAAGGATCAAAGAAATAATTCTTTGGTTTTGTTTAATTATAAATTATAAATAAATATTAAAAAATATATTTAATAAATGATCACCTTTATTTTTGTTTTATAGCAACCACAACTAACTCCACAACCATATCTATTATAGACAAATATAGGAGGCGAAATTCTAGATTCTAAAACAATAGGATATTTTTCGTTAATTTAATTGAGATAAACTGCAATAACTAATTGAAAATTAGACTATATAATAATAAAAACTAGTTTAAAATTAATAAATCCAATTCAAAGCTAAAAAAAATTAAAATATTTTTGTATATTTATTTTTAAAAATTGTCTTAAAATAATTTGATAAATTGCCATAATTTCTGATATTTGGAAAAACAATTTTATTTTTCTTTTTTAATTCATATTAAATTTATTAGGATTATTACCACCAGACCAAATTTTTACTAAAAGATATGCATTATAGAGGGGAAAAGGTAGCATTTAAAATTTTTAGGAATTAAATTTGGATTGGTACTTAGAATAATTTTTTCTCTATTCAATTCTTAAGCGAATAGAAATAAAATATAAATAGTAAAAAGAATTAATATAATTTATCAATAGAAAATTAATTATGCTAAGTATTGAATAAAAATAAATTATTTTTGTTAAATAAAATTAAGGAAATTATTAAAATTATTTTAAAATTACACCAGAATAATCATATGAAGTTTTAATAAATTTGAGGTATTTAAAGCTACATTAGGAATTTTTAAAATAAGATCTATTTTCTCCTAGAATACTTACATTCTCTAAATGAGTTGAATTTTATTAAAATTCCTTTACAGCGTAGATTTCAGCCTTGTTTATATTTTATTAAAATAAATGTAATGCTAATCTTTTATTTTTAAAAACTCTTAGGCTTACGTAGACTTCTGATTTAGGTAGAATTATTGATTCATTTGTTTGTGGATCTGTTATCTAAATTTTCAATTTAAATTATAATATTAATCATATTTTTTAATAACTTTTTAACACATCATAAGTATTATTTAATTTTCAAAAAATATCATTTATATATTTATTATTCTATTTTATCATATAATCAATTAAAATTAGATTATTAAAGATTATTTTGGGATTAATTCATTTATCAAGTAAATACTCAGAAAGTAATTTATACTTTTAAACCCAATTTTAATAGTAATAAAAGTAGAAATTATTTTATAAATTTATTTTTATGTAAAATATTTACATTTAAAGTACAATTTATTGTAGGTATTTTCCATGATTTATGCCATTCCCAAACACCACTAAACATAAAAGCACTTTCATTCTTTATCAGTAAATCCACTTTATATCGAGTGCTCTTTTTATATTAAAAATTATTATATTTAACGATTATATTCTCCTTTTTAGTAAAAGGATTCATTAAAAAAATATAAAATTATATTGATTTTAATTAAATTTAGAAATTTTTGTTTGTTTGTAGAAGATATAGCTTAAAATGAGTTGATATGTTTATATTTTATTTGATTGTGTTAATAAATTATTTTTTTTGTTGAATCGCATGAATAAAGCTTAAATTACGTTAGGAGGGAGTTCTAATACATTTGAGGGAGTTAGATCAATGATTTTTTCAGAATCAGTTTCTAGGATTTTTATGGAAGTATTACAGACATTCCATTACCAGTTTTAGTCTATTTCTTCTTTAGTTTTATCAGAATCTGTTTAGATAGGTGCTTACATCTTTATTATTTTACACATAATATTTAAATATAAGATTTAATTATTTGCTTGAATTGAAAATAAAATAGGTATATATATGGGTATAAAAAATAAATATATTCATAGTTTGTTTTCCTTAAAATAGAGTGGGAAAAATAAAAATCAGCAGCTTTATCTTAGGAAATTAAATTTTTTTATTCATGTTTTTAGAAATTTTAAATAATGGTGTTGATAGTGAATAATATTTTATTATCTTCTTGTTCAGATAAAGTAATCAAGGGTAAATAAGTAAGTAATCATAATACTGTAAACTATGTATGAAGAATATCTTAAATAATTAATTTATTAATAAATTTATGATACTTGATTTGTAAATTAATTGATTAAAAATAGATAGGTGTTTGCTTCTTTTGATTTTATTTTGGTTTTTCTTTTATTCTTTAATATTTTTTAAGTAAAATTTCTTATATATTATGTTGATTTTTCTCAGTTATAAATGCTAATTTTTACTACTTTAGCTATTTTCGTCTCTTAAGAGCAGAAAGTATTATTGATAAATATATTACTTACCATGATTTATTTCTCTACATACACTGATTAGGTACTGAAAAAAACTGATAACTTATTTAATTATTTGATACTTATTACAATTCCCCACTCTTCGATTTCTTTTCATCTATTTTAATTACTCACTTTCTTATTTAGCTTGAGCAATCAAAGAAGATAAAAATTCATTAATGATACTTTCCCTTATTAATAGTTCAATATACCAGCATACTCTACATATCTTAATTTGTTAACCTAAAGCAAATACCCTCTCTTCATTTTAGATAAGAGAAAGGATAATTGATAAATTAATTGCAGTGATTTATTTCTCTGTAGTCGCTGATTAAGTATCTAATTAAAAATTGATAAATTATAATTCAGCTTATTTCTTATTCGATACTCATTACAACTCCCCACTCATCACTTTCTTTTGATCTATTTTAATTATTTGATTTCTTATTTAGATTGAATGATCAAAAAAAGATGTGACAAAATGATAAAAACTCTTTAATTTACAATATTCCTCCTCAATCTACTTATCTTAACTCATCAACCAATATCAAATACTCTTCTTCATTATCCCTTACCTAAAACAGAAAGAATAATTGATATATTAATTATAATGATTTATTTCTATAAAATCGATAATAAGGTATCAAATTTAAATTGATAACTTATAATTCAGCTTATTAATTATTCGATACTCATTAAAATTTCTCACTCTTTGCTTTCTTTACATCTAAATACCCTTTCTTCATTATCCCCACCTACAAAGAGGATAATTGATAAATTTATTACAATGATTTATTTCTCTGTAATCTCTGATTAGGTACCTAATTAAAACTGGCAACTAATAATTCAGCTTATTAATTATTCGATACTCATTACAATTCCCCACTCTTCGATTACTTTTCATCTATTTTATTTATTCGCTTTCTTATTTAGCTTGAATGATCAAAGAAATATATGATAAAAACCAATTAATAATACTTTCTCTTATTAATTACTCAATATTCCAGCCCATTTTACTCATCTTACTTATTAATCTATACAAATATACTCTCTCCGTTATCCCCTACAGACAACAGAAAGGATAATTTATAAATTAATTACAGTGGATTATTTCTCTATAGCCTCTGATTAAGTACCAAATTAAAATTGACAACTTATAATTCAGCTAATTAATTATTCGATACTCTAAACAATTCCCCACTCTACGCTTTTTTTTACATATTTCAATTGCTCACTTTCTTATTTAGCTTGAACTTTAAAAAAAATCTTGATAAAAACTAATAAATTATAATTTCCCTTATTAATTACTCAATACTCCTCCCCACTCTATTTATCTTAGTTTATCTATATATAAAATATATTCTCTGCTCAATAATTGTTTCTTTTATTTGCATTCATTTTGCTAATTTTTTTTATGATATAAACATGTTTTGATGGGTTTTCTGTTTTTCTGATAAAATCTGCTCTATCTTTGATTCCAATATTTATCATTTATAAGTAGTTAGTTAGCAATATTAACAATATTTTATCATTATATATAAATGTTTTCATCAAATAATAATAAACTAATTTAAATTATTAATACGTATTTACAATCTCAATTTTTACAATTTAAAGCAATTATTTTTAAATAAATATACAATAAAAATTTTTAAATTATGAATTAGATTGGTGGAAGTGCGTTTACTATAATTTTAGATTTCGAATTAGTCTTATTAGTGATTTTTTACATAATTATGGATAAAGTTTTTATTTTATTCATTTAGTTTTTAATACAAGATAGACTAGATTTATGAATGCATATACATCAATATCGTTTGAGGTTTAAAAAAAATATTTTAGCAGAATATTTTTCTCATATTTATTCAATTATATATAAATAAATGCTAATAAAAATACTATTTTTAGTTACTATTATTTAATAAAAAGGAAGGAGAGAGAGGAGAAGATTCAGATTAACTATTTTAAATTTCTTTGAATAATCAACTGTCTTAAATTCTTGAAAACTTTGTAGAATCAAATTTAAAATAGAAAAAGTCTGTAAAAATAAATAAAACATCAATCTGTATAAATAATGAATTTCTACAAAAAAACTAGATTTATTTATAAAACCATAAAATAAACAGAGTAATTCAAAGAGAGTACTAAATATTTGTCATTGATAGAAAAATGTGTATTTGAGTTTTTTAATTTTCTTTCATGTTTTATGAGAAGAAATAAATATTTGTGAATTACTTTAAAAATAATCATAATAGAGTAAAGTTTTTAAATTAATAAATGAAGAAATCTATCAAAAACGAAACAGCATGTTTGAAAATAAAAATACTTTGTTATTCTCTTTTCTTATTAGAAATGTTATAGAAATTATTTTAATTATTAAAATTCCTAACTAAAATATTAATTGCTTATTTGTTATTTAATTTTATAATTATTTTTTTTGTGTAATAGATAAATATATTTATCTTCTTACTACCAAATAAGTATTATATGTTTCAATTTATCAAATATATTTTTTACATCTAAATCATGCACAACTATAATCCCCTCTGAATTTGTTTTAAGCATTATAAATTAATTTACTCCTTACCAAGGACTTTATCTATCTCTGTTTAGGTTTCTTCTTTTAACAAAAGAGATTAATTTTCAAAGTATATTTAAATGAATTCTTAAATGTTGAATTATTAACCAATATTGTGTCTTCATAAAATAATAATATTTTATTAACAATTTCCTATTAATTTTTCAATTTTATATTTATTTTATTAGATATTTTAAATTAAAATTTTCTTAAAACAAAAAGATCATAAAAATGACTGAAGCTACCTTAAAAATAACTTAATTATAAAACAATCTCTAAAAATGGGTTGTTGAAAGAACAAAAAATAACTACAAAAGTTAAAATAAAAAGAAAACTTGATTTCTCCCTGAGATTTTATTTAAATCATGGTATCTAATTAATTAATCATGATAAATAAAAAAAGGATAGAAATATGATTGATGGATAATATTTAAGATTAAAATATAACTGGTATATAAAACTTTGGCATTTATATAATTTAATAACATGGAATATAACATTAAAAATTTCAAATTATTTGGTCGTTTTTGGAGAAACAAGAGGGTTTGCTAAAGAGGATTTAATTTATTTAAGTAAATTTAGTTTTTTTATTTTTCATAAATAATTTATTTACTTAAAAAAATATGAATGATATTTATAAATATAAAATCAATAATAAAATCTATCTATCTATTTATAATTTAGGTTAAAAACACTTTTTCAAAATATTAAATAATAAAATATATAATATTATTCAAACATTTTATTTTTATTCATCCTTTTTCACCAGTTATTTTTCATTAGAAATCAAACACAACTAATCTTTTTGATTTAAGACATTTGCTTATTACTTTGGATCCTTATGATTTATCCATTAAGCTAAAAATTTAAAAATAAATTTATCTAAATTTTAAATAAATATTAAAATAGAATAAACTTTTAAATTAAAAATTATTCTTTTAAAATTAATAAATAAAATAATATTAGTGCAATAAAAAAGATAAAAAATTAAAATAAATAAAAGCTATCAAATAAATTCAAAGAGCTTTTGCGTTTTATATTCAATTTAATAGTTTAAAATATCACAATCCAAAACAAATAAACTGTTTTTACTTAAGATAAAGTGTTAAATTTGAGAGATTAATGCATTTTGCTAAAGCAGAACCTAAGCTTGATGCACCTTCATCACCAATTTAATTTTCCCTTTTAAAATATTGAAGAAAAAATATATCATTAAATAGTTAATTAATTAGAAGGAAAAAATGAAGAAAAAATATGAAATAATAAGATTAATTAATTAATAATAAAAGCAAAAGTTGAAAATAAAATGATGAGCTAAATTAACAAAGAAAGAACAAAAAAAAAGCAAGCACAATAAAAACAAAAAGAAAAATGAGCTTTATTCTTTTTAATTAGTTTTTATAATTAAAAATATCACAATCCAAAACAAATAAACTGTTTTTACCCAAGGAAAAGTGTCAAATTTGAGAGATTAATGCATTTTGCTAAAGCAGAACCTAAGTTTGATGCACCTTCATCACCAATTTAATTGTTTCTTTTTAAATATTGAAGAAAAAATATATCATTAAATAGTTAATTAATTAGAAGGAAAAAATGAAGAAAAAATATGAAATAATAAGATTAATTAATTAACAATAAAAGCAAAAGTTGAAAATAAAATGATGAGCTAAATTAACAAAGAAAGGACAAAAAAAAGCAAGCACAATAAAAAGAAAAAGAAAAATGAGCTTTATTGTTTTTAATTAGTTTTTATAATTAAAAATATCACAATCCAAAACAAATAAACTGTTTTTACCCAAGGAAAAGTGTCAAATTTGAGAGATTAATGCATTTTGCTAAAGCAGAACCTAAGTTTGATGCACCTTCATCACCAATTTAATTGTTTCTTTTTAAATATTGAAGAAAAAATATATCATTAAATAGTTAATTAATTAGAAGGAAAAAATGAAGAAAAAATATGAAATAATAAGATTAATTAATTAATAATAAAAGCAAAAGTTGAAAATAAAATGATGAGCTAAATTAACAAAGAAAGAACAAAAAAAAGCAAGCACAAGAAAAACAAAAAGAAAAATGAGCTTTATTCTTTTTAATTAGTTTTTATAATTAAAAATATCACAATCCAAAACAAATAAACTGTTTTTACTTAAGATAAAGTTTTAAATTTGAGAGATTAATGCATTTTGCTAAAGCAGAACCTAAGCTTGATGCACCTTCATCACCAATTTAAGAAGGGCTAAGCGGCTCGAGTGGGCGAGTCGGAGGGTCTTAGCAGTGATATCGGGGGTTCGAATCCTATACCGCCCCCTTTATTTCGAAAAATTCCATGTAAAAATGTGAATGTTACCAGCGGTCTCCTTGGTAGGAGGGAAGGGCCAAATCTGATAGGTGGTAAAGAGGAGGCCCCATTCTGAACAGAAGATCTGGAATACAAATGGGAAGCGAGCATAATGCGTAGTCAAATCATGGAAGATTAGTAGAAATGCCATTAGGGTGTAGGTGACCCTTCTCTTCTAGTATATTACCCACAATTATATATAAATAAATTGGTATACGTATAATAATAATGTATAAGTAATTATATATAGGGCCCCTATCCCGAGTGCATGTCACCATGTGCGAGTATGTATGTATGTATCACCAATTTAATTTTCCCTTTTTAAATATTGAAGAAAAAATATATCATTAAATAGTTAATTAGAAGGAAAAAATGAAGAAAAAATATGAAATAATAAGATTAATTAATTAATAATAAAAGCAAAAGTTGAAAATAAAATGATGAGGTAAATTAACAAAGAAAGAACAAAAAAAAGCAAGCACAAGAAAAAGAAAAAGAAAAAGAAAAATGAGCTTTATTCTTTTTAATTAGTTTTTATAATTAAAAATATCACAATCCAAAACAAATAAACTGTTTTTACCCAAGGAAAAGTGTCAAATTTGAGAGATTAATGCATTTTGCTAAAGCAGAACCTAAGTCTAATGCACCCATTGCACCAATTTAATTGTAACTTTTTAAATATTGAAGAAAAAATATATCATTAAATAGTTAATTAGAAGGAAAAAATGAAGAAAAAATATGAAATAATAAGATTAATTAATTAACAATAAAAGCAAAAGTTGAAAATAAAATGATGAGCTAAATTAACAAAGAAAGAACAAAAAAAAGCAAGCACAATAAAAAGAAAAAGAAAAATGAGCTTTATTCTTTTTAATTATTTTTATAATTAAAAATATCAAAATCGAAAACAAATAAACTGTTTTTACTTAATGCAAATTGTCAAATTTGAGAGATTAATGCATTTTGCTAAAGCAGAACCTAAGCTTGATGCACCTTCATCACCAATTTAATTTTCCCTTTTTAAATATTGAAGAAAAAATATATCATTAAATAGTTAATTAATTAGAAGGAAAAAATGAAGAAAAAATATGAAATAATAAGATTAATTAATTAATAATAAAAGCAAAAGTTGAAAATAAAATGATGAGCTAAATTAACAAACAAAGAACAAAAAAAAAGCAAGCGCAATAAAAAGAAAAAGAAAAATGAGCTTTATTGTTTTAATTAATTAAAAATATCACAATCCAAAACAAATAAACTGTTTTTACCAAAGGTCAAGTGTCAAATTTGAGAGATTAATGCATTTTGCTAAAGCAGAACCTAAGTCTAATGCACCCATTGCACCAATTTAATTGTAACTTTTTAAATATTGAAGAAAAAATATATCATTAAATAGTTAATTAGAAGGAAAAAATGAAGAAAAAATATGAAATAATAAGATTAATTAATTAATAAGAAAAGCAAAAGTTGAAAATTAAATGATGAGCTAAATTAACAAAGAAAGAACAAAAAAAAAGCAAGCACAATAAAAAGAAAAAGAAAAATGAGCTTTATTCTTTTTAATTAGTTTTTATAATTAAATATATCACAATCCAAAACAAATAAACTGTTTTTACCTAAGGTCAAGTGTCAAATTTGAGAGATTAATGCAATTTGCTAAAGCAGAACCTAAGCTTGATGCACATTTAACACCAATTTAATTTTTTCTTTTTAAATATTGAAGAAAAAATATATCATTAAATAGAGTAAGTTACCATACAAATTTACAAAAAGCGAGTTTTATATACCAGTTTTTATATTTTGTAAAATTAAAATTTTAAATATTTTTTATGAATTTTTTTCCATCGTAGGTTTTCAAAATTTATTTTTTTCAAAAAAAAGATATGTTATGCTTTATAAAAATTAGCTTTATTTATAATGTTATTTAGATATAAATTAAATGAGTATTTCACTCTTGTTAATTAGGAGGAAAAAATGTAGAAAAAAATAAGATAAGATTAATTAATAATTAATAAAATTAACACCGAATAAAAAAATAAGAAATCATAATAAAAAGAATAAGGAAAATAAATCAAATAAATTAAAAGAAATATAATGTTATAAATTAACTTTTATAATTAAAAATATTACAATGTAAAACAAATAAATAGCTTTTATTAAGTGAAAGTTTTAATAGCAAAAAATGAAGAAAAAATATCAAATAATAAAAAATGAATAATAAATAATTAATTAAAAATTGAAATGAAAATTAAGTTAAAATAGCTAAAAAATTTTAGTTTTAACAAAAATCAATAAGTAATTATGATAATTTTTTTTATAAAAATTCTTTATTTAAATAAATTGAAAATTAAATATACAAAAAATATCAATAATAATAATAATAAAAATAATATTTTTTAATTAAATATACGCTAGATTAATATGGAGAACCTAATGAGATAATAGTGAAGAGCTTAAAAACTTTTTTTATTAATTTATATAAATTTAAAGGATATTAATAAAAAAATTAATAATTACTTCTTCTAATTCTTCGTAATATTTAATCTATTATATCATTTATTTATTTTTTTCTCAAAAATATTGAATAGCAATTTATGAAATTTAATTAATTAATTATTAATGGATAAAAAGAACAAATAAATATAATAATTAATTAATTATCAAAAATTAATTTATAAATTTGGTTCTATGAAAATATATCACATACAAATTAATTTAACTTTCACAATTTAAACTTAATATTTGTATTTAAAACATATACTTAAAAATATATCTAGTAGGAATTAGTGATGGATAGTTATTTATTTAGTCATATTCGAAAAAAACCTAGTAGTTAATGTTCTTAAATATTATAAAAATAATGCTTATAAGTAGAATTTTCTGTTTTAGCTCTGTAATTTTAGGAATATTTATAATATCTCTAATCATAGCAAGATGCCATAGAAAAATTTCATGGTTTACCTGATTTATTATGAAATATATTTTTTTATTTATTTATTTATTTATTAAAAAATCTGATTTATATTTATATATTTTTAATAGAATTATAATTAATTTATAATTTAATCTATTATAATTTAAAAAATAAATAATTAAAAAGATTAAAAGCTTTGATTTTTTTGTTAAAATGAGGGATAGCTTTAGAGAAATTAATATATTTAAGTAAATTTAATTTGTAAATTTTTATTTTTTAATAAGCTATTTATTAATTGACCAAAATAAACACAAAAATAATAAATTTATCTATCTATCTATGTATATTTTAGGTTAAATTATCTTATTACAAAATATTATTTTATAAAACATACTATTGCTATTATTCAAATATTTAATATTTATTCTTCCTTTTTTAATCACTAGTTTATCATAAACAGAAAGTTATTTAAAAGACAACTAATCTTTTTGATTTAAGACACTTGCTTATTACTTTCACTTATTATGATTCATTGATTTAGTTTTCCCTTTATATTATTTTAAATTAAAATAAAATACTAAAAATAAAAAATTAAAGAGAATAAAATTTTTTAATAAAAATTATATTTAAAATTAATAAATAAAAAAAGATTAGCAGAATAAAAAAAAAAGAAAAAGAAAATAAATTATTTAAAAACTGATATACAAATTAAAAGAATTATATTGTTTTAAATTCAAATTAACAATTTAAAATATCCCAATTCAAAACAAATAAACTGTTTTTACATAAAATTAAGTGCCAAATTTTAGAGATTTGTGCAATTTGCTAAAGCAGAACCTAAGCCTGATGCACCTTAATCACCAATTTAATTGTACCTTTTTGAATATTGAAGAAAAAATATATCATTAATTAGTTATTTAGAAGGATATATTTGAAAAAAATATGAAATAATATGAAATGAATTAATAAATAATTGAAGATAATGTTGAAAATAAAAAAATAAGTTAAATTAAGAAAGAAGAAAAAAACACACAAGTTCAATAAAAAATTAAAAGAAATAAATCAAATTAAAAGCTAATAAACAAATTAAAAGAGTTGTATTGTTTATATTTTTTTTATAACTAAAAATATCACAATCTAAAACAAAAAAACAGTTTTTACCCAAGATAAAGTGTTAAATTTGAGAGATTAGTGCAATTTGCTAAAGCAGAACCTAAGCCTGATGCACCTAAATCACCAATTTGATTGTTACTTAAATAATTAAAGCAAATGTTGAAAATTAAAAAATGAGTTAAATAAAGAAAAATAGTAAAGAAGAAAAAACATAAGTAAAGCAAAAAATAATAAGAAAAATAAATTAGATAAAAAACTAATAAACAAATTAATAGAGTTATATTTTTTTAAATTCATTTTTATTACTAAAAATATCATAATCTAAACAAATAAATTGTTTTTACTCTAGATCAAGCATCAGATTTGAGAGATTAGTACAATTTGCTAAAGCAGAACCTAAGTCTGATACACCTTAATCACCAATTTAATTTTACCTTTTTAAATATTGAAGAAAGAATATATAGTTAATTAATTAGTTATTTAGAAGGAAAAAATTATGAAAAAATATGAAATAATAAGAAAGAAAGTAAAAAAATAAGTTAAATTAAGAAAGATAGAAGAAGAAAAAAAACAAGTAAAATAAAAAAGAAAAAGAAAAATAAATTAAATAAAAAGCTAGTAAACAAATTAAAAGAGTTTGTTACATTGTTTTAAATTCATTTTTATAACTAAAACTATCAAAATCTAAAATAAATAAGCTATTTCTACCTAAGACTAAGTGTCAAATTTTAGAGATTGGTGCAATTTGCTAAAGCAGAAACTAAGCCTGGTGCACCTTAATCACCAATTTAAGTGTTACTTTTTAAATATTGAAGAAAAAATAAATAATTAAATAATTATTTAGAAGGAAAAAATGAAGAAAAATACTAAATAATAAGAAATAAATCGTAAAAGTAAATGTTGAAAATAAAAAAAAATTAAATCAAGAAAGATAATAGAACAAAATAACAATTACAATAAAAAATAAAAAGAAATTAAATAAAAAGCTAATAAACAAATTAAAAAAGTTTATTTGTTTTAAATTCATTTTTTAACTAAATATATCACAATCCAAAACAAAAAACTGTTTTTACTAAAGATAAAGTTCCAAATTTTAGAGATTAGTGCAATTTGCTAAAGCAGAAGCTAAGCTTGATGCACCTTAATCACCAATTTAATTGTACCTTTTTAAATATTGAAGAAAGAATGAAGAATTAATTATTTAGAAGGAAAAAATATGAAATAATAAGAAATAAATATTAAAAGCAAATGTTGAAAAAAATAGTGAGTTAAATTAGGAAACATAATAGTAAATAAGAAAATACAAGTACTATAAAAAGAAAAAGAAATTTAATAAAAAGCTAATAAAAAACTAAAAGAATTAGTTATTTCATTAAATTTATTTTTATCATGAAAAATATCATAGTCCAAAACAAATATTATTTTTTTACCTAAGACTAAGTTTCAAATTTGAGAGATTAGCGCTATTTGCTAAACCAGAACCTAAACCTGATACACCTGTTGCACCAATTTAATTACTACTTTTTAAATATTGAAGAAAAAATATATAATTAATTTGTTATTTGGAGAGAAAAATGTAGAAAAAATATGTAATAGTAAGAAATGAATTAATAAATAATAAAATTAAATGTTGAAAATAAAAAAAATTAAATCAAGAAAGATAATAGAACAAAATAACAATTACAATAAAAAAGAAAAAGAAAAATAAATTAAATAAAAAACTAATAAACAAATTAAAAGACTTATATATTGTTTTAAATACATTTTTATAACTAAAAATATAACAATCCAAAACAAATAAACTATTTTTACTAATTTAATTTAATGTGTATTTTTTTTAAAAAAAAAACACCTTAATTTAGAACAAATACAGTAAATTAAATAAAAAGCTAGCAAACAAGTTAAAAGAGTTATATTGTTTTAAATTCATTTTTATAACTAAAGATATCACAATTCAAAACAAATAAACTGCTTTACTCAAGATTAAGTGTCAAATTTGAGAGATTAGTGATATTTGCTAAAGCAGAACCTAAGCCTGATGCACCTTAATCACCAATTTAATTTTTCCTTTTTAAATATTGAAGTAAATATAAAATTAATTAGTTATTTAGAAGGAAAAAATGAAGAAGAAATATGAATTAATAAAAAATGAATAATAAAAGCAAATGCTGAAAATAAAAAAGTGAGTTAAATTAGGAAACATAATAGAAAAAAAAAACAAAACACAAGTACAATAAAAAAGAAAAAGAAAAAAGTCTTATTGCTTTAAATTCATTTTATTAAGTAAAAATATCAAAATCCAAAACAAACAAATAAACTGTTTTTACTCGAGATCAAGGGTCAAATTTGAGAGATTAGTGCAATTTGCTAAAGCTAAACTTAAACCTGATGCACCTTAATCACCAATTTAATTGTACCTTTTTAAATATTGAAGAAAGAATATATAGTTAATTAATTAGTTATTAGAAGGAAAAAATTAAGAAAAAATATGAAACAATAAAAAAAATAAAAGAAAATTAAAAATAAATCAAATAAAAAAATAATAAATAAATTTAAATATTTTTATTATTTTAAATTCATTTTTATAACTAAAAATATCACAATCCAAAACAAATAAATTGTTTATACCTAAGACTAAGTTTCAAACTTGAGAGATTAGTACAATTTGCTAAAGCAGAGCCTAAGCCTGATACACCTGTTGCACCAATTTAATTGTTACTTTTTAAATATTGAAGAAAGCATTAAAATTAATAAGTTATTTAGAAGGAGAAAATGAAGAAAAATATGAAATAATAAAAAATGAAAATAAAAGTAAATGTTGAAAAAAAATTTAAATTAAAAAAGAAAATAGAAGAAAAAAATAATAATTAAAATAAAAAAGAAAAATAAATAAAATTAAATAAAAAACTAATAAACAAATTAAAAGAGTTAAATATTGTTTTAAATATATTTTTATAACTAAAAATATAACAATCCAAAACAAATAAACAGTTTTTACCTAAGACTAAGTGTCAAATTTAAGAGATTAGTGCTGTTTGCTAAAGCAGAACCTAAGCCTGTTGCACCCTAATCACCAATTTCATTGTTACTTTTTAAATTTTCAAAAGAGAAAAAAAATTAATTAGTTATTTAAAAGGAAAAAATGAAGAAAAAATATGAAATAATAAGAAATAAATGATAAAAGCAAATGTTTAAAATAAAAAATTAAGTTGATTTAAGATAATTGAAAAAAAAAAACACAAATAATATAAAAAAGAAAAAGAAAAATAAATTAAATAAAAAATTAATAAAAAAATTTAAAGATTTATATTGTTTTAAATTCATTTTTTTAAATAAAACTATCACAATCGAAAACAAATAAACTATTTTTACTAAAGATAAAGTTCCAGATTTGAGAGATTAGTGCAATTTGCTAAACCAGAACCTAAGTCTGATGCACTTTAATCACCAATTTAATTACTACTTTTTAAATATTGAAGAAAAAATATAAAATTAATAGAAGGAAAAAATGAAGAAAAAATATCAAATAATAAGAAATGAATAGTAAAAGTTAGTGTTAAAAATAAAAAAATGAGTTAAATTAAGAAAAGTTAAGAAAGATATAAGAAGAAAGAAAAAAAAATTAAATAAAAAGCTAATTAACAAATTAAAAGAGTTATATTGTTTTAAATTTATTTTTATAACTAAAAAAATAACAATCCAAAACAAATAAACTGCTTTTACTTAAGATAAAGTGTCAGATTTGTTAGATTTGTACCATTTGCTAAAGCAGAACATAAGCCTGATGCATCACCAATTTCATTATTACTTTTTAAATATTGAAGAAAAAATAAATAAATAATTAGTTATTTAGTAGGAAAAAATGAAATAATAAGAAATGAATAATAAAAGCAAATATTGAAAATAAAAAAGTGAGTTAAATTAAGAAACCTAAAAGAAAAAAAAACAAAACACAAGTACAATAAAAAAGAAAAAGAAAAATAAATTAAATAAAAACTAATAAGCAAATTAGTAGGTTATATTGTTTTAAATTCATTTTTAAAAGGAAAAATATCACAATCCAAATAAATAAACTATTTTTACTCAAGATAAAGTGTCAGATTTGAGAGATTACTACAATTTGCTAAAGCAGAACCTAAGCCTAATACTCCTTAATCATCAATTTCATTGTTACTTTTTTAATATTGAAGAAAAATATAATAAATTAGTTATTTAGAAGGAAAGAATGAAGAAATAATTTGAAATAATAAGAAATGAATAGTAAATGTAAATGTTGAAAACAAAAAAAAATTTTAAATTAAAATTAAGTTAATTAAATGAAAAAAATATTTGTATTAATTTAATGAATGAATACAAGTGATAATTTCTATTCGTTAAAATAATATTTTAAATAAACTGAAAGTTAAATATTAATAATAATATTTATAAATTAATTAAATATACCTCAAACCAATATGGAGAACCTAGTGAGATTAAAGTGAAGAGTTTAAAAACTTTTAATATTAGTAAATATAAATTTAAAGTGTATTGATAACAATTTAAATAATTACTTCTTCTAATTTTTTATAATATTTAATCTATTATATCATTTATTTTTTTTTACAAAAATAATGAATAGCTATTTATGGAAATTTAATTATTTATAAGTGGATAGTAAGAAAAAAGAAATTATATGAATTTATAAATTATGTTTTTCTTAAAAAAAATCACCAAATAGTTAGGATAACTTACATTATTAAATCTTAATATTTCTATTTTAAATGTGTACTTAAAAATATAGTTGGAACCAGAGAGAGATTGGATATAAATGATAATTAGAATGCGAACTCATTAGAATAAAATAATTTTTTAATATATTTCTATGCATTTTACTTACAAAAATATGAATGATATTTATAAATATAAAATCAATAATAACATCTCTTAATCTATTTATATTATTAAGTTAAAAACACTTTTTCAAAATTTTTTTAAATAAAATATATAATATTGTGCAAACATTTTATATTTTTCATCCTTTTTTCACTAGTTGTTATTCAAATTAAAGATAACTAATCTTTATGATTTAAGACACTTGCCTATTACTTTGAATTCTAATGATTTATTCATTGAGCTAAAAATTTTAAAATAAATTTATGTAAATTTTAAATAAATATCAAAATAGAATAAACTTTTAAATTAAAAATTATTCTTTAAATTAATAAATAAAATAATATTAGTGCAATAAAAAAGATAAAAAAATAAATCAAATAAAAGCTATCAAATAAATTCTAAGAGCTTTTTTGTTTTATATTCATTTTTATAGTTTAAAATATCACAATCCAAAACAAATAAACTGTTTTTACTCAAGGTAAAGTGTTAAATTTGAGAGATTAATGCATTTTGCTAAAGCTGAACCTAAGCTTGATGCACCTTCATCACCAATTTAATTTCCCCTTTTTAAATATTGAAGAAAAAATATATCATTAAATAGTTAATTAGAAGGAAAAAATGAAGAAAAAATATGAAATAATAAGATTATTTAATTAATAATAAAAGCAAAAGTTTAAAATAAATGATGAGCTTAATTAATAAAGAAAAAACAAAAAAAAGTAAGAACGATAAAAAGAAAAAGAAAAAAGAGCTTTATTGTTTTAAATTAGTTTTTATAATTAAAAATATCATAATCCAAAACAAAAAAACTGTTTTTACTTAAGATAAAGTGTTAAATTTGAGAGATTAATGCATTTTGCTAAAGCTGAACCTAAGACTGATGCACCTTCATCACCAATTTAATTTCCCCTTTTTAAATATTGAAGAAAAAATATATCATTAAATAGTTAATTAGAAGGAAAAAATGAAGAAAAAATATGAAATAATAAGATTATTTAATTAATAATAAAAGCAAAAGTTTAAAATAAATGATGAGCTTAATTAATAAACAAAAAACAAAAAAAAGTAAGCACGATAAAAAGAAAAAGAAAAAAGAGCTTTGTTGTTTTAAATTAGTTTTTATAATTAAAAATATCATAATCCAAAACAAATAAACTGTTTTTACTTAAGATAAAGTGTTAAATTTGAGAGATTAATGCATTTTGCTAAAGCTGAACCTAAGGCTGATGCACATTCATCACCAATTTAATTTCTCCTTTTTAAATATTGAAGAAAAATATATCATTAAATAGTTAATTAGAAGGAAAAAATGAACAAAAAATATGAAACGATAAGATTAATTAATTAATAATAAAAGCAAAAGTTTAAAATAAATGATGAGCATAATTAACAAAGAAAAAACAAAAAAAAGAAAGCACGATAAAAAGAAAAAGAGCTTTATTGTTTTTAATTAGTTTTTATAATTAAAAATATCTAAATCCAAAACAAATAAACTGTTTTTACCAAAGATAAAGTGCCAAATTTGAGAGATTAATGCATTTTGCTATACCATAACCTAAGCCAGTTGCACCCATTGCACCAATTTAATTTTCACTTTTTAAATATTGAAGAAAAAATATATCATTAAATAGTTAATTAGAAGGAAAAAATGAAGAAATAATATGAAATAATAGATTAATTAATAATAAAAGCACAAGTTTAAATATAATGATGAGCTAAATTAACAAAGAAAGAAAAAACAAAAAAAGCAATCACGATTAAAAGAAAAAGAAAAAAAGAACTTTATTGTTTTTAATTAGTTTTTATAATTAAAAATATCAAAATCCAAAACAAATAAACTGTTTTTACCCAAGGTGAAGTGTCAAATTTGAGAGAGTTATGCAATTTGCTAAAACTGAACTTAAGCCTGATGCACCTTCGTCACCAATTTAATTTCCCCTTTTTAAATATTGAAGAAAAAATATATCATTAAATAGTTAATTAGAAGGAAAAAATGAAGAAAAAATATGGAATAATAAGAATAATTAATTAATAATAAAAGAAAAAGTTGAAAATAAAATGATGAGCTAAATTAACAAAAAAAGAACAAAAAAAAAGCAAGCACAATCAAAAGAAAAAGTAAAAAGAGCATTTTTGTTTTTAATTAGTTTTTATAACTAAAAATATCACAATCCAAAACATATAAACTGTTTTTACCCAATGTCAAGGGTCAAATTTGAGAGATTAATGCAATTTGCTAAAGCAGAACCTAAGCCTGATGCACCTTCATCGCCAATTTAATTTTTACTTTTTAAATATTGAAGAAAAAATATATCATTAAATAGTTAATTAGAAGGAAAAAATGAAGAAAAAATATGAAATAATAAGAGTAATTAATTAATAATAAAAGAAAAAGTTGAAAATAAATGATGAGCTTAATTAACAAAGAAAAAACAAAAAAAAGTAAGGATGATAAAAAGAAAAAAGAGCTTTATTGTTTTTAATTAGTTTTTATAATTAAAAATATCACAATCCAAAACAAATAAATTGTTTTTACATAAGGAGAAGTGTCAAATTTGAGAGATTAATGCATTTTGCTAAACCAGAACCTAAGCCAGATGCACCCATTGCACCAATTTAATTTTCACTTTTTAAATATTGAAGAAAAAATATATCATTAAATAGTTAATTAGAAGGAAAAAATGAAGAAAAAATATGAAATAATAAGATTAATTAATTAATAATAAAAGAAAAACTTGAAAATAAATGATGAGCTTAATTAACAAAGAAAAAACAAAAAAAAGTAAGGATGATAAAAAGAAAAAAGAGCTTTATTGTTTTTAATTAGTTTTTATAATTAAAAATATCACAATCCAAAACAAATAAAAAAACTATTTTTACTCAAGTTCAAGTGTCAAATTTGAGAGATTAATGCATTTTGTTAAAGCTAAACCTAAGCCTGATACACCTTCATCACCAATATAATTAAACCTTTTTAAATATTGAAGAAAAAATATATCATTAAATAGTTAATTAGAAGGAAAAAATGAAGAAAAAATATGGAATAATAAGATTAATTATTAATAAAAGCAAAATTTAAAAATAAATGATGAGCTTAATAAACAAAAAAAAGCAAGCATGATAAAAAGAAAAATAAAAATGAGCTTTTTTGTATTTAATTAGTTTTAATAATTAAAAATATCATAATTCAAAAAAAATAAACTGATTTTACTAAAGGTAAAGTGTCAAATTTGAGAGATTAATGCAATTTGCTAAAGCAGAGCCTAAGCCTGATGCACCAATTGCACCAATTTCATTCTTACTTTTTAAATATTGAAGAAAAAATATATCATTAAAAAGTTAATTAGAAGTAAAAAATGAAGAAAAAGTATGAAATAATAAGATTAATTAATAATAAAAGCAAAAGTTTAAAATAAATGATGAGCTTAATTAACAAAGAAAAAAAAAAAAAGTAAGCACGATAAAAAGAAAAAAGTGCTTTATTGTTTTTAATTAGTTTTTATAATTTAAAATATCAAAATCCAAAACAAATAAACAAACTATTTTTACTCAAGATCAAGTGTCAAATTTGAGAGATTAATGCAATTTGCTAAAGCAGAACCTAAGCATGATGCACCTTCATCGCCAATTTAATTTTCACTTTTTAAATATTGAAGAAAAAATATATCATTAAATAATTAATTAGAAGGAAAAAATGAAGAAAAAAAATGAAATAATAACAATAATTAATTAATAATAAAAGAAAAAGTTTAAAATAGAAAAATCAAAAATAATATATTTAAAGACCTAATAAATACAATAAAAACAAACAATAATACATATAAATATAATAAATAAATAAATAATTTTTAATTTAAGTTGTATTCTGAGTGCATTTATATGTGCGAGTATTTCTATTCTATTCTATCGCCAATTGAATTTTCACTTTTTAAATATAGAAGAAAAAATATATCATTAAATAGTTAATTAGAAGGAAAAAATGAAGAAAAAATATGAAATAATAAGAATAATTATTTGATAATAAAAGAAAAAGTTGAAAATAAATAATTAGCTTAATAAACAAAGAAAAAACAAAAAAAAGTAAGCATGAGAAAAAGAAAAATAAAAATGAGCTTTTTTGTATTTAATTAGTTTTAATAATTAAAAATATCACAATCAAAAACAAATAAACTGTTTTTACCAAAGTTTAAGTGTCAAATTTGAGAGATTAATGCAATTTGCTAAAGCAGAACCTAAGCCTGATGCACCTTCATCGCCAATTTAATTTTCACTTTTTAAATATTGAAGAAAAAATATATCATTAAATAGTTAATTAGAAAGAAAAAATGAAGAAAAAATATGAAATAGTAAGAATAATTAATTAATAATAAAAGAAAAAGTTGAAAATAAAATGATGAGCTAAATTAACAAAAAAAGAACAAAAAAGAAAGCAAGCACAATAAAAAGAAAAAAGAGCTTTATTGTTTTTAATTAGTTTTTATAATTTAAAATATCTCAATCCATAACAAATAAACTGATTTTACTAAAGGTAAAGTGCCAAATTTGAGAGATTAATGCAATTTGCTAAAGCAGAACCTAAGCATGATGCACCTTCATCGCCAATTTAATTTCCCCTTTTTAAATATTGAAGAAAAAATATATCATTAAAAAGTTAATTAGAAGGAAAAAATGAAGAAAAAATATGTAAATAGTAAGAATAATTAATTAATAATAAAAGAAAAAGTTTAAAATAAAATGATGAGCTAAATTAAAAAAGAAAGAACAAAAAAGAAAGCAAGCACAATAAAAAGAAAAAGAAAAAGAAAAAGAAAAAAGAGCTATATTATTTTTAATTAGTTTTTATCTTTTAAAATATCTCAATCCAAAACATATAAACTGTTTTTACCCAATCCAAAGGGTCAAATTTGAGAGATTAATGCAATTTGCTAAAGCAGAACCTAAGCCTGATGCACCTTCATCGCCAATATAATTAAACCTTTTTAAATATTGAAGAAAAAATATATCATTAAATAGTTAATTAGAAGGAAAAAATGAAGAAAAAATATGAAATAATAAGAATAATTAATTAATAATAAAAGAAAAAGTTTAAAATAAATGATGAGCTTAATTAATAAAGAAAAAACAAAAAAAAGTAAGGATGATAAAAAGAAAAAGTAAAAAGAGCATTTTTGTTTTTAATTAGTTTTTATAATTAAAAATATAACAATCCAAAACATATAAACTGTTTTTACCCAAGTTCAAGTGTCAAATTTGAGAGATTAATGCAATTTGCTAAAGCAGAACCTAAGCCTGATGCACCAATTGCACCAATTTCATTCTTACTTTTTAAATATTGAAGAAAAAATATATCATTAAATAGTTAATTAGAAGGAAAAAATGAAGAAAAAATATGGAATGATAAGAATAATTAATTAATAATAAAAGAAAAAGTTGAAAATAAAATGTTGAGCTAAATTAACAAAGAAAGAACTAAAAAAAAGAAAAAGAAAAAAGGGCTTTATTGTTTTTAATTAGTTTTTATAATTTAAAATATCGCAATCCAAAACAAATAAACTGATTTTACTAAAGGTCAAATGTCAAGTTTGAGAGATTAATGCAATTTGCTAAAGCAGAGCCTAAGTCTGATGCACCAATTGCACCAATTTCATTCATACTTTTTAAATATTGAAGATAAAATATATTATTAAAAAGTTAATTAGAAGGAAAAAATGAAGAAAAAATATGAAATAATAAGAATAATTAATTAATAATAAAAGAAAAAGTTGAAAATAAAATGATGAGCTAAATTAACAAAGAAAGAACAAAAAAGAAAGCAAGCACAATAAAAAGAAAAAGAAAAAAGAGCTATATTATTTTTAATTAGTTTTTATCTTTTAAAATATCTCAATCCAAAACATATAAACTGTTTTTACCTAATGTCAAGGGTCAAATTTGAGAGATTAATGCAATTTGCTAAAGCAGAACCTAAGCCTGATGCACCTTCATCGCCAATATAATTAAACCTTTTTAAATATTGAAGAAAAAATATATCATTAAATAGTTAATTAGAAGGAAAAAATGAAGAAAAAATATGAAATAATAAGAATAATTAATTAATAATAAAAGAAAAAGTTTAAAATAAATGATGAGCTTAATTAATAAAGAAAAAACAAAAAAAAGTAAGGATGATAAAAAGAAAAAAGAGCTTTATTGTTTTTAATTAGTTTTTATAATTAAAAATATCACAGTCCAAAACAAATAAACTGTTTTTACCGAAGGTTAAGTGTCAAATTTGAGAGAGTAATGCATTTTGCTAAAGCTGAACCTAAGCCTGATACACCTTCATCACCAATAGAATTAAACCTTTTTAAATATTGAAGAAAAAATAAATCATTAAATAGAGTAAGTTGCCATACAAATTTACAAAAAGCGAGTTTAATTATATTTTATAAAATTAAAATTTTAAATATTTTTTATGTGTTTTTTTCCATTCTAGGTTTTCAAAATTTATATTTTTCAAAAAAAATGATATGTTATAAGAATATTTGGTTTTTATAATTACATTTTCTGAAATTAAAGCTCACTATAAAATAAATAATAAAGCTATTTTAAGCTAATTTAGCTTTATATTTAGTTATTAAGATATATTACATATCGCCTTTTATAAATTAAATAGGCATTTCACTCTAGTTAATTAGGAGGGAAAAATGAAGAAAAAATATGAAATAATAAGATTAATTAATTAATAATAAATAAAATTAACAAAGAATCAAAAAATAAGAAATTATAATAAAAAGAAAAAGGAAAACAAATAAAATCAAATAAATTAAAAGAGCTTTAACGTTTTAAATTAACTTTTATAAAAAAAAATATTACAATGTAA